ATGATGTAAATGTGAGATGGAAGTCAGCTTGTTTGGGGACTGGGGATCCCCCACTAAATATGATCAGAAAAGGGTTAACCTCTTTTTTCCAAGGGAAACTGAGAGAAGCATAGAGAACCAACAGAGGTTGAACAGCCCTATAGCCCATCCCATCTATATGGTCTCTCAACCTCTCTTGGAAGCCATGAAAGGTCTTCCAGATCTTGATTCTTCAGCCATTTCAGGATGACATCTTCACACGCGTCTCGAGCGTGAGCGAGCATGAAGTCATGCTTCCTCCGCGCTTCTTCGAAGAGGTCGATGATCAGGAGCAGCCGAGAAGCAGCAGAGGTTCAAGGACCGTGTATAGAGTATAGACCATAGGTACCCCAGGTTTTCCGGGTCCTATCTAAGGTCACTACCTCTCTTGGAAAGCCGAGAAGTCTTTTTGGGGATCCGAAGCTGTGTGCAGTGAAGGGTGGACAGTTGAAGGACGTGAGGCCATGAAGGCTCCAAATGGATGGTCGCGAGGAAGGCTCCATGTCCATCGCAAGTGAAGTGGCCAGTATATGTCAGAATAGACTGACGAGAAGTGGCCATGGAACTAACATGGAAGTGGACAACTACCTGTTTGTAGTGGAAAATTGTTTTCCTTTCGGGGCCATTCTCCACATAACCATGCGGTCGTTCCAGAGAGTGTATATGCCAGAAGACTCAAAGAGATGTGTGATATGTTTAGATCCTAACCAGGTATACAGTGATTTCAAAAATAGATGGCACAACTGCACTGGCACCCCAAGAGGTCCTTTACATAGGGGTCCGGGGTCCCAGCGACATTGGGGTTAACCACCATGCCATCAACTCTGATGGACTGTAGATCTTCGCTGGGCACTGGACTCTTCGCCCGGAACAACGGCCACGGCCAGGAGGTGCAACAGAAGAACTGCCAGATCCCCAGCCCCTTGGGCATCAAGCGCATCAAGCTCCACCCCAGTGCATCCCAGGCAAAGCACTGAAGGAACCAGGGATTCTTTGGAACCACTGGGACTCCCAGCGACATCGTGGTTTGCCTGGATGCCCTGGGTACAGTTTCATCTATAGAGCTCACTTGAAAAAATTGACATTGACTTGATCAATCCCCCGATCCAGTGGATTGAGAGATGGCACTGGCACCCCAAGATGTCTCTTATATATGGTCCATATGAACCACCTTTTTGTGACATCTACTTCTTGAGACCACTATAAAATCTATAAACCACCCTCAGCTGCATTCGGCAACCAGCTGCGAATCCCAAGCCGGCAATTGAACCCTCAACATTCAAAAGGCACCAGTCGTTTGCAAATTCGAGAGTTGTAGGACACATGCGATCGGTTTGAATAGCAATTCTTTGCATGCGACATGTCCTTCCGCGTCCGCCCAGCGTCCGATGTTGCTTCATGCACCTTCCGCGTTCGCACATGAGTCAAGAAGACAACCCCACTCCTATCACGCCCGCAATCGTCGATCGTCCCCATCAACTCTGAGCTGCGTCGAATCTGCCAAGAAAAGAGATTTGACCCCGTGAAACCGGGCAACTACCTGGACCCTCCAAAGTACCTTAGAAATCCTTAGAAAATGGGACATGACCCCATAAAAACAGGTACGACTGTACCCGTTTCCGAGGTACGAACTGAGACTCCAGGTAGACCTCAAGCCTGACTCCAAACCGTCCAAAGCCATCCAAAGCATGCTTCGCCTGGCTCGCAGACGCCACCTCAGGCTACCATCGTTTTTTCTGACCATGTTTCTGGGTAGCTCAGCGACCCTATAATGGTTATACGGGCCATGCATTTTGTCTTGCTTTCGTGGCTTTGATGTCACTTGTACTACTGACGTCACTTGCACTTGCTACGCCATGCGGAACGATGCTACGCCATGGATGGAACCTTTTCTGGGGCGTCCACGGCATCGGTTCGTGGACGTGCACTTCGAACCGTCCAACGACGTCCTTCGAAACGTGCACTACACCGGAAAGTGCACGTCTATAGCGAAAGTGATCGAAACTGTATAGCGAAACATCCTCATTCCGAGGACATTCCCAGCAACCCTTTCAGCACGTTCACCCCCGCCACAACACTCTCGATCCAAAAACATCATAAACACAACGCACAAATTAAATGAACAGCAACAACAACACCCGGCCCCTTACGGGCGCTGCTACCGTGTTTTTGTTCGGGGTCTCCCTAGAATATGATGCGCGCGCACACACACACACACACTTGGTTCTCGCATGGCCGGGGTCGGTTACAAGGTCCTAATCATTGGATCTGGGCGAACTTTTGAAAGCGGGCCATATGAAGTTGTAGAAGATACCCAGGACTGGCATGGACTGGCCACCGACACCGAGGTCGCTGCCCCGATTTTCATATCCAGCCTTGGATGTCGGAGGGTCTGCCGTGGGCCAACCTGGAGCTGCAGGAGGTGGGAAAAGAAGCTGAAATAATTGAACATGAAACAGATCTAGGACGATCTAGTCATTCTAGGTATGGGTCGATTGTATATAACAATCATATGCATCACTAGTTTTATAAAGTGAACGTACCACATGATAGAGTTTTCTCCTACTAGAAAGCCATTATTCTATAATTCTTTGTGAGGAAGACCTTCCCTCTTGTTGAGCAGCTAGATGCTTTGAAGGTATGGCGAGCTTCAGTGTGAGAGGATGCGCGAAGAAAAGACGCCATGTAGCATGTAGCGTGTTTTATGCATGTGGGTCTAAGTACCCAGCACTACCGAAGGTGGTGCAGTGTTGTGCCCCTTTGCAATAAATAGGCGTTATAGTTCCGTTATAGTTCCATTTTGAAGCCTAGCGGCGGGTTGCAGTGGGTCATCCCAGTCGCTTGTCCAAGTCGGGTTTCGAGGCCGACTTGGATTCGCAGAATGAGTGGAGGTATACGTTACAATGTTTGCATGGTGGCTTTTTCAGATGGTCTTCCAAGCGAAAGTCTAAGATACGTCAGCATTGGGAGCAACACAGTCTGCCAATGTTTCTTTGTGGCCGGCAGGTTTACTTGGCCATGACCTGCATTTGTTTACTGGGCTAGGACCACCAAATTACTGGATCATGGCACCAGACCACCCGCAAGCAGACCACCTGCTAGGGCAGCATTTGCAGCCGGAAATGCTTGGACCTGGCGGATGAGATGAGCAAGTTCGATTGCGACAACTGAATTGGTCAACAGCACTTGGTCTCTTCCCTAGTGCCTTCCGAGTGCCCGACTTCACATGCACGTTTGAAGCCTCCACTCACCACGAGCCACCTATGCACGCGTCACAACCGCGACTTCACGTTTGAAGCCTCCACTCACCGCGAGCCATGGACAGCACGCATGGCTGTCCATGGCTGTCCTGCCCGCCCATGCCCACCCTAAAAACGGGGGGCCCGCGCTCGGCTCGGCGTTGCTGATGCTTGCGGAGATGGTTGGAAAGAGTTTGGCGAAGATGTGCACCAACCAGTGCAGTGGCCCCCTGACCCCTTACGTTACAAAAGGCCCTTTTTCGTGGCAAATTCTTTGGAAGTTGAAGTCAATTGATTGAGCAACGCACACACAGACGCACGGATATGTGTTAACAAACACATTAGACACAGACACACACACACACACACAAAAAAAAAGAATAGACATCACGTGTTTTCCTCGAAGCATGAGGGTCAGGCGTAGGGGACACGCCCTAGCCCAGGCGACAGGCCTCAGAGTGCAGCTTTCACTGCTTCATTCACACATGACACACACACACACACACATTGTATTGTACAAATCATCGAGTTGAAGCAGACCTGACATGACCAAGCCTGGTGTTGCGAATCAGGTGATTCCTCATTCTCCTGGTTTGGGGGTCATGTTGTTTTCCTGGTTTGGGGGTCATGTTGTTTGGGGGTCTAAGTCACGTTTTTGGGAGCGTTCTTTTGGGGCGAAGATATGTGTTCGTTTTTAGGGATACCTTTTTGTCGGCCACGTGGCCATATGGATGTAACTGGTGAAGCATGGCAATGGCTGCGGTGACACATGAGGCATCAAAAGGAGCTGCTCTATTCAGGATACTCACGGTGAATGGGCCACTCAGGGTCTACTAGGAGACTGCACCAGTAATCACATGGTTTGGCGGATATGTGCCAAGAAATTAAAGAAGTATATACAGTATATGATATATGCTTAAGCCATATCCCAGACACTCCATGGGACTGGCATATTTACATAGGGGGGTGGTTTGGGGGTCAATGTAGGTAAATATGCCAGTTCCATGGAGTGTTTGGGTATTTACATGGTTCCTCAACTGCGATGAACATGTGGCCGGAACACGTTCCTGCCAGGATAAAGCTAATATGACCAGCCAGGCAGCCAAGGAAACGTTTTTGTTTGGTCATGTTTCAGTGTGGCAGTGATTTGGCTTCATTGCACCTAAGTCATCACCCAAGTCATCACTCCGGACTGCCATAGATGCGCCCCCGCAATTCCACCACCCCTGGCCTGATCGGAAGTCCTATGGCAGTCCCATGTGTCGTGTCTGGGTCATAGTCATGAGACGCTGCCGAGAGAGAGAGAGAGAGAGTGAGAGAGAGTCATGACAATCACCACTGTCTTTGGATGTTTGGTTGGATCGCTGCAATGAAAAAAGACTGCGTTTGGTCGCGTGCGATCGCCAGTCTCATGCTGACTGGTATAGTCATTGGTATAGACTGCCACTGCCTCTTCAAAACTGAGACCGCCCCGCTCGGCTGAGACTTAAGGAGCAACCTTGACATTGAGAGGTTTTGACGCTTTGACCCTCTTTTTGGTTCTACACGCGGCCGCTGAACCCGTGTTGTGCCATGCCTTTTCTTTGGGGACACTTTCAGAAGGCAGTCAGGCTTAGGCGGGGGCCCGAAGCGCGGGACACCACAGCCCAAAGCCTCCTAGCTTCCCTCATCTCACGCAGAAGCACGGTACTACTGGTACCGGAGCCCCGAGGCCTGGTGAGGCGATCGGTCGCATCGTCCGAGGACCTTGGACGCCATCTCGCCGCTGCGTTCCTCCCGCAGCAGTGCCCCGGAAAGAGACGTAAGGACTGGCCGCTGGGACGGGGTCGCTGGCGACAGGGAGAACCCTGGGAGTCAAAGACTATAAAAAGAATGGTCTGACTAGGGGACCTGAAAGGGAACTTCCTTTACTTCAGCCGGTCAAAATATAGTCTTTGGACTTCTAGGGATAATAGTAGGGACATTTAAGCTTCAAATGCACTTCGAAGGCCCACCCCCCAAACAGATGGAGAGGACGATAACAGGACGATGTCCAAGGAGTTCTGGAAACTGCGCAGTGCAAATGGCACGACGTGTGTGTTTTTTTGGGGTCCGGCCTGGCAGGCCTGGCCAGGATCGCACGCGCCGGCCGGCACGTCAAGATCGTCATCCTCCCACCTGCCTGGGGGTGATTCTGCGGCAGATCTGTGCCCATCTCCGAGCCTTTTTTCAGAAATGATTTGATCTTGTCTTCTTGAGTGTAGTTCGGTTCCTTCGCCAGATTTCTTTCTGGCACCGAACTAGGAAGAAACTCCACGAAACTCCTAGATAGAGATCACGGTCAATCCTTTGATTCCTTTGTACCAGCTCTTTTTCTCGGTGTCGGTCCCATATCATTTCATCCATGCTGATCATGGCCCCTTCAATGACCATGACATCCGAGCACCAAACCGGTTTTGGTCCACTACACACAGATGATCCTGGTTTTTGCGCATTTGGGGTGATATTTTCCCCAGACACCTGGGTCAATCCCCAGAATTATCTCCCAGACACGACACGTGGGACTGGCATCTTGACCTAATTACATTGACCTAATTACAACAACCACCCCAAGGTATGTATAAATATGCCTGTCCCAAAGAGGTCGTGTTTGGGGTCTGAGTTGTTCCTTCCTTTCCCCGGCCTCCTGGGAGGGTGCCACCCATCCGTGCCTGACGTACGGCTCGTCTCCGGCCGGAGCGACGTGCCGCTGCGGTCGACCACCAGGTATGACCTGGAACCTCGGCAACTCGCAGGAGCGGCGGGGCGAGGACGACGGTTTGGGGTTTGGTTCGACCCCGATTTTTGACCCAGACCCGGACACGACGAATGGGACTGCCATAGATGCCTACACGAAATCCTCTAACCAGCCCCAATGTAATAAGCATGTATGGCATACATGGAGTGTCTGGGATAGTCCAGGTGGTGATGGGATGGAACAAACATGCACATTCCTGCATAGATCTGCATGGTGCATCTCGTCAGTTCGGTCAACCACTCCGGGAAAGGGGTGGTGGTGGGAGAGAGAGTTTGGGTGTGTGTTTTTCGAAAGCTTGACCGCTCACTTGATTGAATGGCACTCGTGGGAATGAGCCGATCGAGCTGAGAGAGGGAGAGGAATCATCTGACAAAAGGAAAGGGGGGATCCGTTTGACGGAGCCAGCCTTCCACTGCCCAGGCACTCCATGGGATTGGCATATTTACATACATTGGGGTGATTGTTTTAGGGGTCAATGTAGGTAAATATGCCAGTCCCATGGAGTGTTTGGGATTGGTTTAGATCGAGATTCCAGGACCTGGAGGAGTTTCAGGATGTTTCATTAAAATTTAAGTTCCTTTAAGCATCATGAAGCAATGGAGCTGCTGCTGTGCCAGGAAGTCTTCCAAAGGGCCACTGCGAAATGCTCTGTGAAGCTGGGTTGCCGCGTCAGGCGGGGGAGAACTGGTTCTATAGCGCGATGCGGCAGTGGGCAATGATACGCTGCATGCGGTGCTCTACAAAATTCCTCCCCAAGAAGAAGAGGTTTTGCGGTGTTTGCTGTGAAAAAGGACGCGGCTCTGCGAGTAGGATGAGGCCCCCAACACAACTGTGTTTGCTGTGGGTCAGGAAGCCATTCTGCTGCTGCTGCTGCTGCCAATTCTTTTTGCTTCCGTGCCGGTGACAGCGGGGTCTGTGCCGCCATGTGAATGGAGCCGGATGCCGACGGCCTGGGGAATTCTGGCTTTTTCCCTGAGACACTGAAACTGGAGTCAGCCTAGCAGCTAAGCATGTGGATCTAGTCCGCACAACGGTTTTGGGCTTAATGATTTCTACGAGTAACAAGGACGCTACTAGTAGCTCCTGGCATCGCCACTAGTGGCAAGAAAGTACAAGTAACAAGGCATCTTACTACTAGAAGCAAGAAGGTACTAGTAGCTCCTCATTGTGCAAAAAAGAAGAGACATAGCCGTGGAGATTTCATTTCGACAACTGAGTGGCGAAGTGATGATTCTTGAAGTCATGCCAGAAATGACTGGGTGGGAACTCAAGCAGCGGATCAAGGACCGCCAGCTTTGGGATGATGAACTCAAGCGTAAAACAACCCGTGTGGACATTGTTCTGGGGCCGAGCAGAGTGCTAACGAACAACGAGACAGCTGCAGACGCGGGCCTGCCTTCAGAATCAGAAGCGACCATAATTTTGAGATCCAATACTGTGACGTGCTCCGACAAACGTGAGTTTGTCCGGTTTGTGCATGAGTTGGGCTTCGATTCCGTATTTATTTGTGCCCAACTTGCTGAGTACTCGGATGATGATGAGGAGGAGGAGAAGGAGGAGGAGGAGGACGACGACGACGACAACGACGAATGACGACGACGACAACGACCTCGACCTTGACCACTCGGAGTCATTATTTGTAGTTCAAATCACAAATGGTGCAACAACTATTGTTCCAAACGAATTCAGGGGCTGCAACTTGTTGGCAAGTGTGACCATCCCCGACTCAGTCTTCACATCGCTGGCGATCTTCACCTCGGCCGCCCTGGCCGCAGTCGGAGGAGCCCCAGGGGCCTTGGTTGTGGCATGGGCCTGTGTCCTTTCCATCTCCGCCAGGTATCGCAAAATGGTCGCGAGAACGTGTGGAATGCCTGAGTTGACATACACTCCATGGAACTAACAGCGAAGTGGTCGAGTGGTCCCTTGGAAGACCATTTTCCTTTCTACAACCAAACAGGGGGTTTTCCACTTCCATGTTAGTTCCAGGGGGTGTATTCCGGGTTGTGTGTCGAGGTGTTGGGGGTTCTGAAGGGCTCAACCTCCAGCCATGTGCTTCATGAATCTCAGCCTGAAGGCTGATGTCAGCAAAGAGCATGCGATGATGCTGGGGTGCAGGGATGTACCGGGTGCAGGTTTGTATCTAACATTCGTTTGTTGCCTGCCACCGCCCAGTGTGAGACAAAGTAGCAAGCCAGGAGGCGCATATATATATATATATATAGCTCCTGTGTTGTTTTTCCATTGTTTCCTTCCCTGCAGGCAGATCAACTTCCTCCAAGAGAAGGGCTGCCCTCAGCAGGTCGTGGTGGACGATCAGGGTCACTCAGAGACCTTCGACCGAGTAGCGACTTGACGCCGGAAAGCGGATGATCTTCCAACACTTCACCACCCGCCCCTCACTTCCCTAGGGCTTCAACCATATCCTCAGAACTTAGTTAGACCACGTTAGACCCCCCAAAACCAACCCCAACCACCATCCCAGGAGGTAGGCCAGGAGCCCAAACGGGCTTAGTTCTAGGTCAAGCTTCGTGCCGGGTAGCCGGTTCGCTGCCCGGTCGTTGTTTCCGCAAACTCCGAGGTCTTGGCGTGTCCCGCCACCACGTCTGCAAACCTCCTACGCCCGGCGAACTGGAGACTTGGGCGGCCTAGGAGCGTGCACCGATCCTTTCCCATTCGTGAGCTGCTGGAAGCCCCCCATATCCCTAATTAGGAAGACAGGACCGGAGGCAGGACCTGAGGTAATAGGTGGCTTAGGTCAATCCATTGATGTCACATTCGCTTAACAAGACTGATCCCGATATATGGTCGCCAGTCCCAGTTTGGGAGAGTCCTCTTGGATCCTCCAATGAGTTGAGCCAGATGACCCTACGGACCTCGCACCCTGGTGCCGGCGTGAACTCACATGGAAGCGGCGTGAAAACCACGTGTTTTTTTGCATGAGGAGCATGGGAGACGACAGAGCGCCCATATGATCCACCCTCGATGTGTCAAGGCTCGTGCACCCTGTTTTCGGCTCGTGCATCCCCGAGTGACGCAGACTCTTAGACCCACCCGCCCATCTCCTAAGGAGGGTCATTCCATGTCATTCCCCTCCTATCCGCAGACACTCTCTCAGTGGGTCCCAAGCCCAGCGTCAAATCTGTCTCTAAGGATCGAATGGAGCTTGTTGCAAGGCGTGGAGTACCACGACGAGGCCATGCGCGTCAATGCGCGTCATCCGCGCGCGCATGGCTTTTCTCCGTGCGGATTCCCTGACGGAATGCGGAACGTCCGTTGCCCCGCGGGCATCCCCTGGTTGGTGCGGGGTGACAGTGATGTGATATTTCCCTAGGGCTCCAACCACCTCCTGAGAAAGTGCTTGGGGTGGGCGCCAGAGGTGTCTAACTACCTTCTGAGCCGCCCGCCCGTCTTCGGCGCGACGGGCGCCGTCTTCTCGCGACGTCTCGTGCGTTCTTCCGACGTCCTTTGCGGCAGGTGCACAACTCCGATTGGAAAGACGGACGTTTGACCAAAGTGCAACTGCAGGTGACTGGTGGTAACTACCAAAGAGATTCCTGGACCCCCAGTCGGGGTGGTTCATGGACACCAAGAATCACAGCTAAGGGGCTATATATTAATAGACACCCCTTGGAGGGTCCTGGTACAAGTAGTTATTCAGCTACTGTTTTCAGATCTACATGATGCTTTAGATCGTATATTATATAGTTACAGGCTAAGTTCCACAGAACAACCATGCAAGTTTTGAAGGCATCAATTACTGCGGGTACTGCCCCTGCAAACCCAATTCTCTTGACTCCAGAAGACACTGGATTGGATCTTTGCAGGATTGGTTGGATGTACCTGTGCATCAAGACGCCAGTTGCCTGCCTATGAAGCATCATCAGTCTTTGCCCCTTGGATCATGGAAATTTGGGAGCTCCTCACATGAGAGACCTTCACTCATGAAGATTCAGTTTTGAGCTTCTTCAATTTGGCCTAGTCGGCCTTTTACAGTAGATGTTGCATGATTTTGCATGATTGGAGGGGTTTGTGGAATAGATCTTCAGATAAAGTGACACCTTCTCTGGCGGAGCCACCGGATAAAGGGGCACCTTCATCAGCCTTGACCTGTGGGACTTGATGACTTGATAGACAGCCATGATCTGTGCATCACCATGACTTGGGGATTGCTCACGAGTGCCTCACGTTCTCTTGAGTGGATGTCCATGATCCATCTATTCAGCAACCAACCAATAGTAAAAGGCCAACTAGGCCTTACCGGGTTATGAGCAGTCAGCAGTCACGTTCTTATTCTTCTTGTTGTTGTTGCAGTTGTTGCAGGTGTTAGTGCAGTTGCTGTTGTTGCTTTTTGCCCATCGCTTGTCTCAACCAGGACCATGTTTCACCTAAAGCTGCTTGCATGCAAAGGCGGCAAGCAACATCCCCAAAACGAGCAGCTCAGAGTTTGTCAAACTTCGGTGCATTTGTTCTATGAAAAACTTTGGTCCCCTTTTTCCATCACAGGCAAACGGACGGGTAGTGCACAAGAATTTTGCAAACACCTATTCTACTAACTTGGTAAGAGTGGTTTTGGCTGACCCCCTTTCCACACCACCCTCTCCATTGAACCTTCCAGACTGGAACGTGCGGCCTTTCTGATCGATGTGGACGCCGATGGCCGCGCGGGCGGCGGAGTCAACGTCGAGCCAATTGGGTGGCAGCGGTCTAGGCATGTCGTCGTGCTTTGGGGGGGGAGCTTGGGGCCAAAAGATCCAGGTGATGCCTCACCTACCCAGGAAAAGTGGATCCCCTGCACGCTCTTCCCCCTGAAATCCTTTCGGCGTTTTGAAAGGCAAACCCCTGTATTGTCCAGGGAAACGGCCCCTAAGGTCACCTACAAAGCATCCAATACCAGGACCCCCATGGGTCGTGGGTGATAAAATGGACACCCCTTAGACCTAGCTAGTTGTTCCTTTTTGCGGGGGCTGGGGTTCGTGTTGTTCTAAACGCACCCAAAAACCCTACCCTACAATACATGTTGCAAGCTTGGCGTACTTTGGTCAGGCGGGACTGCAACTATGGCCTACATGACTGTTACATGACGGTAGTTTTCATGTAGGCCATCTTGGCACCGCTGTTGGTCGCGTTTGGGTTGGTTTTCTGGGGGGTCGGCTCCCCGAGGTATACGCATAACCTGGGAGCCTTCAGCCCTTCCGCCACGAGCTCAGCGGTGATGCCATTGGTCCAACCTAGAAGTGATGGCCTCCAACCTACTAGCGATGGCCTCCAACCTAGAAGTGATTCGAATTCCTCTGAAGAACAGTTGGAAAAGGCTTCTTTGCTGACTACCTTATAGACTTTTTCTGCTGGCACTATCACCCATAGACTGCCATGATGCTGTACCCCTAGGATTCCTGGTTCACCATTAAACTCATGCTTCTTATGGAGAAACCCAGCAACCCTTGTTTTCCGAAGGATGATTGCACTATGACATCAGGTCTTTCCCATTTTTCTTCACCACGGTCTTCTCGGTTTGATCGGACACCGAAAAAAACGGTGGAAATAGGATCCGTGCGGCGAGCCGTGCGCGTCTTGACTACTGAGGCCCGATCCCTTGGGGTGGCGCCAGCGGATTGTCCCATGTTCATGACGCCCAGATGAAATGGGCGAAAACGCGGTTGGCTTTGGCGTTGCGATGGCCAAGTGAATCTTGGGCCTTTCGGGATGTGTTTCAGAGATTGTCAGAGTTAATTAGTTTTAACATCTCAGGAACAACTGTGGTTGTCAATGTTTGCCGTCATTCGGTTACAAGGCGGCAAAAGGAGCCATCTACCACGGTCCACATATTGATGCGTCACCCGGTTCCCAGCACTAGAATTTAAAACTTTCCAGACTGCAGCGACTCGAGCCGATGTGGTGGATGGCATGGCCTGGAAGAAACGAAAGGAAGACACGAGGGCTTTTCAACGACTTGAAGTGTCAGGATGATTTGCCAGAGGTTGGCGCTGGCAATGAAGCAAGAGCCTGTTGGATACTGTACTCCTTTCTGATTGACAAGATGGTTGCAGAGCCCAACCACAGAAAAAAGAGCTATTCACCAGTTGGTCCTCCGAGTTGTTCATCCTGGAGGCCATGCCCTGGCCAACTCTATGCAAACTGCCGGTCCTGGTGGGCCACGAGAATCCATTTACGGCTCCGTCGGAACAGCATGACGCTTCCTCTACCCTCCCGGTGAATTCACTCCTCTCACCCATGATGAGCTGGAGCTTTCGTGTATAACTAGCACTTGTTACTAGTAAGCTTCTTGTTACTAGTAGCCATGCCCGTGTTACTAGTAGTACTGCCCTACTGCCCTTGTTACTAGTAGCTTCTTGTTCCTTCCAAGGACGCAATGCTTGCACCACACCCGGCGGCTCGATCCATCCAAAGAAGTGCAGCGCTTCAGTGCTCCGCGCGGGCATCCTTGCCTCTCGACGCACAACATGACGCTCGGCAGTGGGGGCTGCGTCGGCGGTGTCGGGTGTGGTCTCAGAGTCGATACCGGGCTCCTGGCCACCCCCTCCGTTTCGGTTCGGTGGGACAGGGGCGGGTGCCAGAGGGGGCTAACCATCGAACAGGAGATGGGACAGGAGCCCGGCCCGGTATAGTGGGCCATCTGAGCTCTGGCACTGGCACCCCAAAGATGTCTTAGACAGATGGGGTGCATATGAAGCTCCTTTGGGGGATGGTGCCATCTATCTATATATATATATACGTATATACTCTGAAACGCTATGGCTTGGGTCTGTCCCAGTACACCCGTAACGGTCCCCGTGTGGGCTCCAGTCATACCTTGTGAGGTGTTTGAGGTGGGTGCGCGAGGAGGGTATGACGAATGCCTTCGTTCCGGAGGTATGGCTGGAGCCCTAGGGCCCTACATTTGCGGAGTGCTGGGTATGGCATGGAATTCGGACACGTGTTGACATTGAACGTCATTTCGGCTTCTAAGTCGTTTGGGTCTGATCCGGAAGTGATTAGTTCTGATCTGATCTGTGGGACGACCTTCAATTCTCTGCTTTGGCATTCTCAAGTTTACGTCCTTTCAAGGGACCAGAACTTCTTGTGGTCAGCAATCTGACAATCCCCGTGCTCCACTTGACTTGCTTGACTCCTAGAACTTCGGTGCACAGCCGTTTTTAGAGCCCTGTCCCCACTCTTGCTTTTTTAGAGTCACCGTGGCTTTCGCACCACCTGGCATTCAGGTCTGTCACTGTAGGTTCAACTGTAGGTCCCACCCCCGACGTGCCATTCTCGACCCTAGGAACCAGCACGTGGGATGTGAGGCATGAGTTTGGAAGAGGGGAACATCTTTCATCTCCCTGTTTCCTGTAGATGTCCCAACAAAACAGCCCATTCCAGGAATTCCGCTCGGCGTTTCATCTCTTTCACCTGGACTCGCGGACGAGGATCATCACACAGATGCTACACCTGGTGCAGGGCCGCAGGGGCCTCTACTGCTCCTAGGTCCGAACCAGCCCGTCCGCTTCGACGGCGCGTGCGACACCGGAACCCTGACGATGACAGGTGACCCCACCGAAGAGAAGGGACGTCTTGTGTATAGAGAAAGAGCTCCCAGAACCGAAGTATAGATCCCTACACCTCCTGTCCCATTTCCTCAGGTTCGGTGGTTAGACCCCCCTGGCACCCACCCCAACCATCTTCGAAACGGAGGGGGGCGGCCAGGAGCCCAAACGGGGATGTTGGTTCTCCACGAGTTCGGCGCCAGATGTTTGGGACCATCCCCCAAAGCAAGGTCGTTGGCCCAATGAAAAGCTTCAAACCGAAGACGCTGGGTTCGGGACACCACATAGCGCCCGCGGTGGTCAAGATTTGGCAAACCTATAGCTTTTGCATTTTTGATCGTCTTAATTGTATGAAGATGCTTATTGTACCCCAAAAAAGTTTTTTGGGTGAACACCTAGATCACTTGGCCCAAAAGTCACCCATAATATCGATCGTGCTTTTCATGGGTGGGTGCTTTCATTCCCACCCCCCCATCCTAAGCCGGTCCAAACGCACGTCAGCGCGGTGAGGTTCCAACTGGACCTCACCGGGCAACGGCCACGACTTGGCGTGCACGTCAGGGCTGGCGGTGGCGAGCGCCATTGGCGCTCAATATCCACTGCAGGCGCGCGGTGGCGAGGGATCTGAGGATCCGAGGAGGTCGGCCTTGGCCCGGATCGGACCTTGGATGATTTGCCGAAGCCTATTAAGAGGCTAGCTAGAATTCCAGTTTTCGGGGGGACGTTTTCGGGTTTACAGTTGCTTTCAAGTTTAGAGTTATGAGGCAGAGGATAGATGATGAATATTGATGAATGATTCATTCAGCTAACTTCTGGGAGGGTATGGTAGCAGCATGTAACAGCTCGGGCAGTAGTCGAGAGCTTGTTTACCTGGTTGCATTTTTCCAACCCCGTTTAAGAGGTGCCGTGCTTGAACATTTGTCAACTCATGTTGTGTTTGGGATAAGGCCACCCAAGCGGAGCAGGACCAGCAACGCCCCCCATCTCTAGCCCATCCGGACCCAAGGACGATTACTCATTCTAAGTTATTCTTCCACCAGGATGAAGAGGCGCAGAGGGACCATCGCGATTGCCGCCGCTTCATGTGGGTTTGAGCCGCTGCGCCAATCCTCCGCTTGGCCGCGGCGAGGAAGAGTTTCGTTCAAGGATCGAATCATGGGAAGGCCAGACGCCTCTGGAGCAGAAAAGCGGCTGCAGAATTGAAGGTTTTGCTTGCAGAAGTCCAAGGGGATGTTCTGGAATTTCTTTGAAGGGTGGGATGCAGAGGCGACGATCCTGTACTGTAGCACTTTAGATGCTTGGACCCGACTTCAAGTACCCTAGAATCCTACTAGAAATGGGACAGTACAGTACCCTATAAGAACAGATATGTACCCACTGTACCCTAGAATCCCTAGAAAAATGGACATTACCCCGAGTTACTTGGAGGGTTCAGGTAGATTGCTCATGATGGCTCCTTCAATCAAGAGATCCCTTAGCATCCTCCTTAGCATCCTTTGGGATCTTTTCCAGACGTGTTTTCGGTGGCTTTGTCCCAGACATTAACTTGCGATATCGCGATTGGCTGATTGCAGGTGCTTCTTAACCCTTGGTCATTTGGGGTCAACCTAGATTAAACAGCTTGAGACATTGAGAACATAAGCTCCCTGTAGCCTGTAACCCTCAACCCAGCCAAGCATACGAACTACTTATATAGTTACATTTAATATCATTTAATTTCAATTTACTGATTACTCTCTTTTTCTGTGTGCCAGTCTGGATGGTGCCTTGGAACAACGTTCTCTATATCACCCTTCCCAGCTCCGACTTGGACTGCTATCTTTGAGGCTTTGAAGGAGCAGACCAAGCACATACCGAGGAACAGTTGATAACCTGCAAAACCTGTTTTTTGTGCGTGGCTTCCCCACTAAACTAGAACAGGTAGAAAGTTAGGTTAACCTGATAACCTCTGTTTGTGAGGGCAAACTGAAGGAGGCAGGCAAAAAGTTGGCATCATCGCCTCAACTTTCCACCGCCTCAACTGCCTGGGCCACACATGTGAAGTCCAATTGACGCTAACCCTGAAAGGGTCACCGTTGTGGGGAACGAGAGCGCTTGGCTTCGATTTCCGGACAAAGACCCGCGCTCGCGCCAATTCCGTGGGGCTTGAGCCTGAGATGACATTTTCCCACACAACCTACTAGCGATGGCCTCCAACCCTCCAACCTAAGAGCGATGGCCTCCAACTTACTAGCGATGGCCTCCAACCTACTTCTCTCCTGAGATTTGCGGGATCTTGCTTGGCAAAGGTGTAGTGAACTCTCTCACAGATCACCATCGCCCTGACACTCCAAGTATGGCATATTTACTTGCATTGGGGTGGTTGAAAAGGGGATGAATGTAGGTAAATATTCCATTCCCAAGAGTGTTTGGGTATAATGAGTGTGTTTTTGGTTCGACAGAAATGGTTGGTCGTTGTTCATGGTGGTTCTGTTTCAAGAATTCCGAAGTACCTTCAGGGGAATCGGGATTTTTTGATCCTCCTGGTTTCAAAGCCAATCCAAGTGACAAGGGCCTTCGGGCCTTCGGGGTACTATGCATGAAGATCTACTCCCAGACATTCCATGCAGATCTATTATACTCCTAACAAGTCATGACCCAGAAACACTCAATATATGGAATCGAAATGAATCCAACACATGTGTGCATTGACCCCTGCAATCAGCAATCCCAATGTAAGTAAATATGCTAGTCCCATTGGTCATGTTTGGGACTGGTTGATGGCTCCAAGACATGGCTCGGCCGCCAGATGATCGATGACAAGAAGAACATATGTTCTATTGATGTTCTTTCGCATGGACCAAACCCATCCCAATGAATTCCAAAACAATTGAACCACCACTTGCCTCATTTTTTGGAGGAGGTTTTCATCCGGGCACAACTATAAATGGTCAAGCTCAAGCGCATCTGCAGTCTTTTGTGGGAACCACGATCCATCGCACCTCCCTGCCTTTCTGGAGGAGAACCGTCCCACCTGCTCTCCCTCTCCGCGAGGCCAGCCCCAAGCGCCGGAGCCGGAGGCCGAGGACGCCGACCCCGAGCCGCAGAGCACCCGGCTGAAGCCGGAGCACCCGGGGCATGACTCGGCAGCGCCTCAGAGCACGATGCCGGATCCCCCCCCCATCCATCCGCAGCTCGAAGCGGGTGAAGGAAGGCAGTGACGGAGGGTCAGCGAGGAAGGGAGAGAGGAAGACTAGAGGTTTTGCGTTCCATCTCTTTGGGGGAGGGTTATTCATGTAGATTCACTGTAGACATCTGTAGACTCTCTTACTGGACCTGGATTCACTATCCAAATGAACGTAAGGGAGAGTCTGGCAGTTTCATTCAGAGTCGACATTACCTGGTCTTGCTGTTATTGGATCCCGCACTGGGTGAAACCCCGAACTGTCGGGAATCTCTTTTGCTTCCTGGACGGCAACTCCGGGTGCAGACTGCAGATATCTGAGTGCGTCCAAGCCTTCAAAGCTGGTTTGGGTCACACAAAGTTCAAGAAACTCCCAGATCTTTCCAGGAATGTAGAGTATCCTTTGAAACCATGGGTGTAACATGTTTCCAGGAGCCACAGAGCTCGGGGTGGTGGATATGTTCGTTTGTCGTGGATGTGAAGTCGGGGCCAGTGGCCAAGGGCCCGGCACCCTCCATGAACCTCGCCATGGAACTGCTGGTATTTCTTATATTTCCCTTCTTCAATGAAACTTCTTGAAGGATTGGCACTCCAGCAAGCAAGAACCCCCCCCAAAGACGGATTCAAGAGGCGTTGTGGAGCTTCACCGATCTCATTTCGTCAACGTGGAACGAAGCATTCAGGAAGCATTTGGGATCGGTTTCTTCAAGTGGAAATACGTTGAGAAACCTTGAGCTGCTGAACCCTTGAGCTGCTGACCCCTTTCCCACGTGTTTCGTGACACGCGACACGGCGGCCGGTTGTTCGAAAGCAGAAGAATGGATCGCGGCCGGAGGTATTTTGTGGAGGTCTTCCGTGGCATGGGACTCTGAGAGGAATTGGGCCAGGACTTGTCAGGCTGGAGTTCCTCAATGGGTGTGGTTTTCAGATCCTTCTAGTGTCCCTAGGGTACGACTGGACCCTCCAAACCTATACCTTATTGGATCCAACTAGTAGCTTCTTGTTACTACTAGTAAGGCACTTGTTACGAACGAAGCGATGCACTTGGAACACTAGTAGCGAGGCACTTGTTTCTGGGTGTCAGTTCGCCTGTAGGGTCGAACTTGTGCACCTGGCGAGCAGGAAGTCGCAGACGGTGTCGGGTGTTCCCCATCCGGGTAGAGCATCGCCGCCTCCTATCGTACGTAGAACTGGCCGAAGAATAGAAGAGATCAGGTTTGGGGATCTCATCCACCCTGAAGTTTCGGAATTCATGGGTGGATGAGATCCCCATCAGGGTGGATGAGATCGTGAATTTGTTTCTTCCATCATTGATGGAGCATCGCACCATGAGTCATGAGATGAAATGCACCTTTTTTTTTTAAAATCTTTTTTGGATGTCATGGACCAGGAGGCACATGTAAAATTGTCCCTTTTGTTTCAAGTTGCACAATGCGTACCATCATGTGGCTGTTTGATGCAAGCAAGCTACGGCGGCTATGGTAGGTATGTGTAGGTCAATGCTGGCTGGTGAGGACTTATACAACTTGAAGTTTTGGATTCCCCGGCTATGGAGGTGCATATTTTAAATATGTTGGACTTGGCTCGCTCCGAAGGTCTACCTCATGTGGAGCTGTGCATGTGTCCATTTGGTTATGTATATATCGACTATATAAAGATGAACTCTTGGGGTGGCTATATGGCACTCTACATCCATGAGCCGCATCACAGATGCATCTAAGGACAGGTGGTGTTCTGCAACAGTAGCCTCTCGGGCGTCTTCATCGTCCGGTGGCCCAGCGGCCCAGCAGGGGGTCTGTGGTACGACAGGCAATGTCACTTTGTGAAGACTTATGTGACATGAAGTATACCAAAATCAAGGTTCGTTCCCTAAACAGGGAGACTGGTTCTTTCTTTGAACTAAACCATGACTCCATGACTCCTACAAAGGAAGAACATCCATACGCCCAAAGGTTTGGTTTGGTGTTTGCTGCTTTTGTTGTTTCTTCCAGAAGCCAGGTGCATGCTGTTCACATTTGTTCGATCAATGTCACGGATGCATGGCGTGCCTTGTGTTTCGGAACGTTACAAGACTGGACTGTTCAGAACTTGTTCCTCTCACTTTTTCACATTCCATTCCATGAAAAGGTTATATAATAAGACCCGAAAATCAAGACCATACTGGGGTAAGGATGAGATACGCCCCAGAAGATTAACATGGGACCTGATGGCATGGACCTTTAGAAGACTGTTTTCCTCTACAGCTCAGTGGCTTTTCAGGTTCCATGTTAATCTTACACGACGTAGTCTGTAGGGTTCTTCAAGCTTTGTTGGTTTGCGTCCACCTTCGTTGAGGCTGGAGCTTTGATGCTTGGCGATCCACAGCACCCCGGCAGGCTTTGATACTTTGTGTGGAGGAACTTGTTCCTCAAGGGGGGTGATTTTGTGAACCAGTGGTTAGTTTTTACTGGGCTAGCTGTGTTTTTTTTCTCCGAACCTGACATGCTCAACCTTTGGCTTGCAACTGCTGATCATCTCCTTTTTTGTACATCAGTGCCCCTCAACAAAACAACACAATTTGTGCTAGTTAGGGTAATTTGTGAGAAGGGCCTTTACCAAGCATCATCATCCACTGGGCCCTGGCAACCGGAGAGTATTTCTTCCAACCCAAAAAGCCTCAACCTCCTTTTACCCGATGGATTTCTGGCCTCAGGGTCCCTGTTCAAAGGTTCAGGCTCCATGTGGACAATGAGGTACTGTACGCGAGATACATGAGATACTGTCTTTGTCTTTCTGACCTCCCCATTTTCCTCGCCTCTCACGTCCATACCTCGCTTTTCCGCCGTCCTGATGACCAGAAAAGACCTGGGTCAGGTCTCGGTCGGGCGCTCCCAGCTTCCCAAGATAGCGCTGCGGGGTCCGGTCGTCCCTACCTCCCTACCCAGTGCTGCGGGGGTGTACACCTCCGTCGGTCGAAGTGGACTTCACACCCCTTTGCGTGGTGAGTGGTGAGTCGGAGAAAGTCTTCCAAGAAGCCATGGGAATCCATGGCCCCACCAGGTGATGTGTTCGTCATGTCGTGTTTCACAAGACGGGGTGCCGGTGCCGAACGGAGGATAGGGGTGCCCCAGAACACATCCACTCACTGGATGGGACTGAAAACCACCCCGTCTGGTGACTCCTGGTCATGTCGTGTTGTGTTTTTGTTTGAAGATGGTTTACTCCCCTTGCAATTCGGACCACATGGATCCCCCTTCATGACCCTGCGCTGGATTGGTGGAGAATGGTCTGGAACACCACCCGGTCGGGTCGGTCCGGTCCGTTGCCGGTGCCGTTGCCGGTGGGTAGGTGATGTGATGGAGACCTGGCCGAAAGGATGAGAGTCTGACTGGAGGCCAAACCGTTTTCCTTGCCCTCCAGGAGAAGTAGCCAGGTCTCCCGGGACCATCGGACCCGGAAAACCTGGGGTACCCAACTGGGATAGTCTAGTTTGGGTCATGAAAAACCTCTGTTGGCTGGTCCTTCATGCTACTCGAAGACAGAGACGTCCGGATGTCTGAGGACCGGCGTCATGGCGCTGCTAGGCTGCAGCTCGGCCACTCTGCTGGCGCGTTCGGTGGGCTTGGAGAGGGGCTTCGTGAGCGATGGCCTGGCAGGCGCGATCTCCGTGCGGCGCGGACGTCTCTGCGCGGGCGCGCGGAGTGCGGGATGAAGGAAGTTCACCGCAGAAGTCAGGCGGACCTGACCACCCTAAAGAATATCTCCATGGCTCCCAGAGATCTGGAGATCCTTTAAACATCTTGGAACTTCTGGGGGGCTTCATTTCCTATCATCGCGCCACTGACCAAAAGGGACGAATGGAACACGGCGAGCCTCTCTTTTCCAGAAGAGAACGGCTCGCGAGTCAGCGCAGTTTCTTTTTGGGATGTTTTGCTTAATAAGTGGTACATGACTTTGTTGCATTGTAAGTTTTGCACATCACTGTCGGACAAGAATACACTGCCAGCAGTCACAAAGGGGTGCGATCCATGGAGGTTAAGGGTGCCCAGAACATCCACTCACTTAGGGACTAAACTCCACCCCTTTGTGACTGCTGGCTGGTTCTTTTTGGTCCGGTTTATCAAGCAAATTCCGATCCTGGACGCTCGCGAGCGGCCAAAGGCCCGGGTCCCCGGCGAACGGGCGAGCCTCCCAAAGGGGCGCGCAGAGCTGATGTGTGTGTGTTGTCTTCAAGGGCTGAACATCGGAGGTGGGGCGAGCTGAGTCCAGAACTGATTGGTACGCCCGCTGCGTGCTGTTTTCTGTTTCTTCTTCTCCTTTGGGAATGACTAAGCATCGAAGGGATCGGCTCTGTATTCCTCGAAAGGTGAAGCAACCCTTGTAAGCAGCAAGATCCAAATCGGACAGGCATGGACAGGCTGACTGACAGCAAGCACACCGCGGCGCGGAAGATTCATATGGAACCTGATGGCATGGACCTCTGGAAGACGGTTTTCCTCTACGGCCCAGTGGTTGTCAGGTTCCATGTGGGTCTCTTCCAGGGTGAACACCATGCGCGTGTTGTGCGCCACGAGAGGCTACAACGGCGCCCTGGTGGGTTGCGCCTTGTCGGTCTTTCAACCAGCACTGCCGCTGATGCCGGCGGCCTTGGGTGCGCTGGGACCCTTTAGGCGGGGTGCGACCGGTCAAAGTGGTTTCAGATGGTTTAAGGGAACATGAATGTAGACAGGAGAGCCATAGGTGTGGGGATGAAAGCCATGGTTTCCGGTGGATTTTCCCATTTCACGACCAGGACCGGTGCTTAGAAGACCTGCTGGGTGAGGTACCTCTGAGTCTGCGCATGCAGGAGTACCACTTGAGGGCGAACCCTGTTTCCGGGGCGATCCCGGTGCCGCTGCTTCGCACCCACCACGGAGCTTCGGGTGTCCATGAAGCACCCCTTCTCCAGGGGTCCTGGTCCGTTGGGCTGAGAGGAAGCTCGATCAAGATCTGGCGCATCAGAGCCAGAGCATGTTCTGGACAGTGATGGTCAATTGCTGCATCAGACTTTGCTTGTGAACAGTAGGCATTTTGATGTCCACTACACCATGTGGAAGAAGCACTCAGAATTTCAGAATAAGTCCCCCTCTTGGCAACTGACCTAGTAGTATTAGTAAAGGGAGCTTTGTGTTCACACGGGTGTGTTATATCCATGTTCTTCTTTTCTTTCGTCTCATGTGTGCTTCTCGCGGTCCCATGCTCCCCACTTCGGCTAGGCCTCAAGGGACCTCTCCAGGTCGCTGGACCTAGCTCTTCATCCCCACCTCGGGCTTCATCCATCCTCCTCTGTATGGAAAATAGGCCTTTTGAAGCCACCCATTTCGATCTGACAGCCTGGGCCTGGCTGAACTTCCCGGTCTCGAGAGACCGGTCTCGTCTCGAGGTCTCCAGGTCTCAATCTCTACCAGAAGAGGTTTTTCATGACCCGAACGTTCGGCTATCCCAGTTGGGTACCCCAGGTGTTCCGGGTCCTATGGTCCCGGGAGACCTGGCTACCTCTCTTAGGTACTAGCGATGGCCTCCAACCTACTAGATCGATCGTCGAACACTCGCTCAGCTCCGGTGCACTGGGGGACTTGCTTCTGACGCTGCTCGTGGGCGGGCTCTCAGCTCCGGTGGCAGCGCGTCTTGGTGGAAACCGTGGCGCGTCTCAGAAGCGGAGGAGGTGGGTTTGGGTGGGATTGGGGGGGGGCAGGAGTAGTGTGGGTCCCAGTATGTATAGAGGTCCTAGATGGTCCTAGGGTACTGCTGGGATGGTTTTACCAACCTTTTGCCGTGCCCAGCCAAGCTTGTTGGTATGGCAGTTGATGGTTGAAAGCAGCCGAAACCCTTTTGTTGCGACTCTTTTTGGCGAAGGATTTGGGTGCCAGTGGGCAAGTATACACCAGGGCCCCCTGTTTGGGGTGGTTAATGCCTCTCAACCTCTAAGCAGCTATAGACACCCCTGGCCGGGGACCCTGGTAGTTGACAGAAGGTTCCAAGCCAATGGCCTGGACCGACTGGATTGGACGCCCAGCGATCTGTGGTCGCATCAGAGCCCCCCTTCAGGTTCTGTCCGACACTGGCCACCATCTCATCAATTCTCAACAGGTGTCGAACAAAATCCACCGAACCTGAGGTGAAGGTACGAGGTGCCGGATTTTTTTTCTGCAGTGGAAACAGGTGTCGAACACATCACCGAAAAGGCACCTGAGGCCATACCAGGACCCACTGTCGGGGTGGTTCATGGACACCCATTCACCTGTAAGGAGCTGTCAATAGAAACCCCTTAGGGTGTCCTGGCATATGCAAGAATGTGTTTTTGTTGAGGGGAACGACTGGATGCCCAGGGAACGCCTTGTGTCCTGCAGATCTCATCCGATCAGATCGCCAAACCGTTCGGAACAGCGGCGGACCGGTCCGAAGACCACATGTGGTGCCATTGCGTTTCGCCTCACCTCACTCCCGTCCAAGAAGTTCCTGAGCTTGACCCATGTGGTGTCCACAATGCTTAGAATATCTAGAACCTCATTTCTTCGGGGTCTCTGACCCGCTTTTCTCCGCCCCGCTTGTGCGCGACAAGCGGTGAGGAAGCTAGGGCCTCTGATGGCACCAGTGCCGCAGTGGACCGTGGTCTTCAATGTGTTGGCTCTCACCGTCACCCGCGTCACATGTGGTGCGCGGTTTCGCCGCCGACGCTGCGCGCGGAGAGGGGGTGTTTTCCGCGACCACCTCGTCGAAACGTCCTTAGTCTAAGGATTCATGTGCGTAGCACGAAGTGCAAAGGCGATCAAGTGAGTTGGCCTCAGAGTATGGGCTTCCCAACCAGGAGTGTTTCCCTTAGCCTTCCAAGACTATTGGCAATTGTTGACCTGGTTGACCTGGTTTCGCAGCCCCAAATCCGTAAAATGGTTCTTGAGTAAAAGGTTGTGAAATCAATGGTGCTTGGAAGGCTGCACAGCGTGTTTTAAGGCACAGAGGGTATTGACCGAGCATGGAGTCACAGGTCGGTCCTTTTCGGTTTCGATTTTGGGGCTGCGAAAGCAGGAATTCTGGGCATTCCCAAAATCATAAATATAGTGGAGTGAGTGAGTGAGTGCGTGGGTGGGTGAGTGAGTGAGTGAAAACCAGCGCCAATTGGTCTTCGGATTTCATGGTCCACTTTTGGGGGGCCAGGTCCACGTAACGATGATTCCCAGCAGTGTAACAGCTGCGAACTTGGAGATGAACTTGGCAAGATGGAGGGTCCTTTATTGATCCTTTGGAGCAGACTTGACTTCCAATTCCAAAAAGCTGACACGCCTCGTCCTACCAATGAATTGAACAAAATACCGCGCGGGCTTCCGAGCCTCCGGGCCTCTGACATGGTATTCCTGCTGGTGGACTTGATTTTTGCCGAAGGTATTCCCGAGAAGTCTAGTTGGACTCTAGATTGACCGACTGAAGTTGCGGGAAATTCCTAGACTCGGGTCACCTGAATTCCCTTTTATAGGAACAAGAAGATACCAGGTTAGAGGCCATCGCTATTGGGGTGTAGGCCATCTCTAGTTACTAGTAGCTATAGAAGCTAGTAGACCATTTTGATCATTCTTTTCATAGTCTTGCGACTTGTCCTGCCAGCTAACTCACGTCACGAGCTCACCGCTTGAGGTCCTTAGTGGCTGCGCCGCGATCAAATATCTCTCAAGCCCGCAGAGCCCCAGCAAGCCTCGCAAGCCCAAGCAGCCCAAGCAGAGGGACTGTGGACCGGGAGGTGACACAGATCTTGTTTGCGTCCTTGAATCATAAACTCTTGAAAGCCAGATCTTTGTGGTATGATTCTTCAGCCAGAGTGAATGGCATGGAGTTTAAGAGGCTCAATTTGGTCCTGTCATTTTGACATCAATCCGTGCTGAATGTTGCTGCTTTTTCCGATCTAGGTTGAAGTTCAACATTGGACTTTTGGCCATGAGAAACCCTGGTGCCTTGCGTCAACCTACACCAGAAGGAACCAGCAGAAAGAGGCGGTATTCTTTTTCTTCGGGGCTCGGGCTCCAACCATACCACCCCAGTCCCACCTTCGAAACGCAGGTAGGCCAGGAGCCCTAGGGTTTGGGGAGTCATGGAACATCCAGAAACAGGCAGAAACCCGTGTCCAAGCCAGGCCTATGCGACTCCTCATGAACCTATCTTATTTAGACTCGGCACCCATGGTCACGTGGATTAACCATGGACCGTCAGATTCACTATGGACTACCATTGTCCGCATACCAAACAGCTGGTTTTGCGGGGGAGTTGGGCACTCCCCCAAATCCTCGAAGGATTTGATCCGCCTCATCAAGGAGCATCCAAGCACCCCGGACGGAATTAGTGGCGGCTTCGGATGGAGTGCCGCGGGCCGGCACTGGAGTTGGCCGGCCGGCACGTTTTTCTTTTTTCCCTTTCCTCTCCTCAAGCCCAAACAGAAGTGGTGATGGGAGGCTGGTGACCTCACAGTTTCTTGGGAGATGTAGAATTAACAATGTAGAACACATGCAGGATTGATGTTGGAAGGGTAGAAGCTGTAAGATTCGGTTTGTTTGTATAGGAATTTGGTGAACAAAAAGGGTGGGAGCTGAGTTCCAAACAGTTTACATTCAGTTTCCTACTATCCCGGGAGGCTTGAATTTGGATTTAGCCTGTATGCGAATCATTCTTGAGTTAGGTGAGGAGCTTGAGCTCCTTGCATGGAGGAGCTTGGGTGAGCAACGAGCTTGGGACTGAGGATTGGGATGGTTTTGGTCCCAGACACTCCATGTCGTATGGTATCCATGCCTACATTGATCCCGGGGCCTCCACCCCAATGTAGGCAAATGTGCCAGTCCCATCGAGTGTGGACTGTCCACAACCCCTGCAAGCCCAGAGGAAAGAGGAAAGGGTTCTAAAACCCGTTTTGGATCCACACCCTGAGTTGGTCATCCAGCCAGAGAAACTGAAACGGCTATAGACTCAGGAGAGAGAGAGAGAGAGAGAGAGAGCTAGAGAGCTACAGGGGGTGTCCGACTACCTGTAGCAATTGGAAAACAAGAGCATCACTAGTCAAGAGATGTCGCAACTGCAACTATACCAGCAGTCACAAAGGGGTGGTGTTTAGTCCCCAAGTGAGTGGATAATGGGCACCCCTAACCTCCATGGATAGCACCCCTTTGTGACTACAACTTCGGAAGCATTTACTAGGCCCTGGGTCCATGGGGCTGCTGAATCCGTGTCAGCCATGTTTGATCAACCTGCGGGTCATGGCACTCAGAGCCCCGAACTCACCAGCTTGACCTCCTTGAGTCGTCCACCAAGCTGCCACCCCCCCGGGTGCCAGACGGTCCCCGCCCCACGGTCCCGGCGCGCATCGCACGGTTCGCGCGACCCGCACGGTGAATAGGCCATTTCATCGGCGACTTGATCGAGGCGATGATGGTGAGCGTCTCACAGATCTTCGTGGTCAATAGCCCCCTCACAGGACCGGGCGGATTTCGGTTGGGATGTTCGGCCTTTGAAGGATGGCTACAGTGCCTAACGGTCATTGACTCAGGGTCATGACTAAGGTCATCTAGGGCAAACATCTAAGGTCATCCATCCAGGACTAAGATGATTGACGGGAGCCGGCCGGGATCGGGTGAAGATCGTTGGATCTGAAGATCGGCCTGGGGACTGCAATGCTTACCCCACCTGGTGGCGTCATCCATCAATCAACAGCAGTATCAACAGCATATTCTCAGATCATCTCAGATCTATAATATATATGTATATATGTATTAATAGATAAATATATCATACAACTACCTACAAAAACAACCCCAATATAGGTAAATATGACAGTCCAGTGTGCCCGTGGGATGGATACGGGAGTCCATCCCTGCCGAGCTTCGTGCTGCCAGGACTTCTGATCACGGTGGGGCGTCTTGATGCAATATCCCTGGGGCTTCAAGTAATGTCCTGGTCTTGCTTAACCCTAGGGACCCAAGTACCTTGTCAGAAGGTGATTGGAGACACTGCTATGTAGGTTTGGAGGGTCCAAGTACCTTCTGAGAAGGCACTTGGATCCCTAGGGTAAGTAAGGTGATTTTTTCCCATGTGGTTAGATCCGCTTCTGAGGATAGGGTTTGGATTGTAAAACCTCTTCCAAGCTTGGGGTGATCTTCATCAACCCTCATTACCCCAGAAACGAAGCTATGACTGGACCCCTCCTGGCACCCTCCTCACGTCCCGAACCGAAACGAAGCTACGACCAGAGTTCGCCCGGTCGGGCCGGGTTCGCATCTGGCTGGATGTACTGACCGTTGGGTTCAGCTCCTTCAAGGGGGCTGATGGACCCAAAAGCCAGGGCCGACGTCGAAGGAGCTTTGGCCAGTTTTTGGGCCCAAGCCAGGGCTCAAGTGAGCTTAAGGATGTAGGGTCTAGACCACATCCACATCTACAACCAGTCAAAACCCTAGACTGAACCCAACATCGGATGGGTCCCGGGACGAACCTGTGGTCGAGCCGAAAGGGGTGGAACCATTTCGGACTCACGACTGTCCCAGAAGCACAAAGGCTTTCCAACCACGACTCCACGCTCCACGAAGGCAAAGCCTTAAAGCTTTTGGTCCCAAACGGATTTGGCTCCCAACAGGCTTCGGCAAGCTGGGCGCCAGGGCACCAGGCATCGTCCACTCGTTGTTTTCAACGTCGAAGGTCCGTGACACGGCCCCCGTTGTTCAGCTGCTTGGGATCTGACCACTGCGGGTTCATGGCGCTCCGCGCCGCAGCTCCGACAGGATCTTCTGCTACTCCCCAGCCGCCGCCGGGCTCACACTTGGTGGTGCCATGCTGGGGAATCTGTCTGCCTTGATCTCGGGCATTGACTATGACCAGGCCACGGGGGATAGCGTGGGTTCGTGTAAGATCCATGTCTCATGAGTAGCAGTAGTAGTTGTTGCTGTAGCAGTAGCAGTGGCGGTAGGAGTAGGAGTAAGAGTAGTAGTAGGAGTAGTGGTAGTAGTTGTTGTTGTAGTAGTTGTTGTGGTTGTTGGTTGTTGTGGTTGTTGAGTTGTTGGTTGTTTGTTGAGTAGTGGTATATTTTGGCTTCTTGGTGGACAAAACGGGGACCACATCCCGAGCGGCGACGCGTCGATGCGATGCGCCTAGGGACGCCTACGCGACGCGACGCGTATCGAGGTGATGGAAGGCTTATGGGGCTACAATGCTGCCCTGTCCAGCCTCGCAGTAGGGCACCTTGGTACCGAGATGTGCATAAGTAAATCCTGAGATAAAACCATCAGCTCCATACTGGATCTGGAATTTGAAGTAGCCCTTTATGATGGGGCTGCAATGTAGACTCTTGATCAATTGCTGTAGAACTTCCATAGATGAGAGGTAGTTACTAGAGGTTTTACCTTCCAGTATGAGAGGTAGGCGGGCCCGGTGGACTTGTCACGTGGTTTGAGCCAATGCCTGGTTTCAGAGTCGATGAATATCACAAGACCCCAAGGGGGTCTTGATAGGGGCTCCCAACACCACAGGGTAGAGGGTGTCTATGAATATCACTGCGCATGCACAGGGTCCACACACACCAGAGCTCGGGGTTTTCTGTCAAGACACTGCTGCACTTGTTCTGTTTGGCCACACATCGCATGTCAAAAGCCGTCCTGTATTTGAGCATGCACATGTTTGGTAGTTGCGCACGTCGTCGTCGCCCACACGTCGCGCCTTGAGGATCTTTTTCGTCCCCAGGGGTCTGCCCTATGCGGGCCTGGTAGCTGCAGGCGATGGCGGTCGGCCTCGCTCGACGGTGGAAGAAAGACATCCAGCAGCACCACGGGTAGAGAATCTTAGAGCAAAAAGATGAGGCTATCGTTACATGGTCTTCAAGCAACATCTGAAAGAGGTCACTGAAGAGGGAGTGTGCAAATGGCAAATGAACAAGGATTTCAACCGCCAGACTTGAGAAGACCGAGACCCTGATTAATCCTCATTATAATAAACAAGAGAAACCGTTCATCTTACATTCCACTGATGCACCCCCAAAACTTAGCCTTAAGTTGTTCAAACCTCCAAAAGACAAAACCTCAGTATAGATAAGACCCCCGATTGGGAACGTGCATGTTGATGGTTCCTCAACTTTGATTCCTATATGTAACTATATGTAGTACTGACATGCACTTCCCTAGGGCTCCAACCATATCCTCAGGTTCAGTGGTTAGACCCCCCTGGCACCCACCCCTGTCCCATCTTCGAAACGGAGGTGGGCCAGGAGCCCAAACGGGCTTCGTAGTAGCAACTGATTGAAGGGCGCCGGCTCTCAGAAGCGATCTTTGTTTGATGTTGGGGGCCCCGAGTAGAGGAGCAGAGGGTACGTCAGTGGACCTGGTCCAGGCGCCGTGGGCTCCACGATGGTCACAGTGGCAGTGAAGCAGCTGATGGACCTGGCGGATCTGCCCTGCATGACGGTGCCCCTGGTTTTGGCGGATTTGAGATGATCTTTTTTTGATTTGATCCCCATACCGGTACCTGGGTCAAACCCCATACCTGGGTCAATCCCCATACCTGATGAATGATGTGTTCGATTTTTTCCAGTTTGGACAGCTGACCTCCTAGGTGCCCTTCTGCTTGATGGCGCTCCTTGGATGGAATTCAGCCGTGGACCCTCCGTCCAGGACGCTTCGGCGTCTGTCCACGGAGGACCACACTGACTGAGCTGAGCGGCGAGCTCGGGCGATGCCTTTGGTGTCACGGGGTCTCGCTCAGACACCCAGCTCCAACACCAGTCACCTCCCAGTCCATCTTCCGGATGTTCACCAAGTGGAGATCCATCCAACGCCGAGGGGTGCCACGCTTCCTCCAGGTCTGCCTGCTTCCTCCTGGGCGGACGTGTGCCGGGACTGGTGCATGCCAAGGCTCCTCACTCACCTGAAGTGAATTTGCACGCCTATCGCGCTTTCTGAAGGGCTGAGGGTCGGAAAACATGAGTGGCCTCGCGGTGAGAGATTGCCCCTCAACAGGGCAGAAGACATGAGAAAACCATGAAGACCTTACGCAAAGATGAGGTGTTTGATTCTTCAAACTCCGGGTCTACCAAGCTTCAGATGCCCCATGATGCTGCCAACATCTGGCTCTTGGTGGCAAACAAATTGGTGAAGGTGATGCTACGTGTCCCTCGTGCTGGGAGGCGTTGAGATGTGAAAAAGGTGGTGCATGGGTACTGTATATACACGCATGCCGCATACCCTTGACTCTTTTCTGTATTGGGAGCCTTGTGCCAAGAATTGGATCCCTCAAGTCGAAGGTTTCTACCAAGAAATGCCAGAAAGTCTACGCGTTCTTGAAGGCAGATTGGTACAGAAACCCACCGACAGCTGACCAAGCACAGTTGTTTTGAACTGTTTTGAACCATGTAGATGTTCTCAAGTGGCGCAATCTGTCATCACATGTCCTCGAAATGTTTCTGACATAACTCAAGTTGCTCTGAACAATTCACCAAATGGATCCAGATATGGTCAACATCAAAGAATTGGTCTCACTTCGCGGCCAGTTTCGCCCCCTTTTTTCCTCTGGCGACCTGCGCCCGCGGGGGCGAGAGTTGAGCTTTTGGAGAATTCAGGCGGACCCCGGGCGACGGGCGATGGAGGCGACCGCAGACCGTGGCATGAGAGCTTCGGGTTAGCACAGCAAAGGGCGGCTAGATCTACCACTAGGAGTGAGACCCTTAGAGGAGGACTTCGCAATGGACGCCGCAGGTCCCGCGCACCGGTACCGACCGGGCGTTTGCTGCTCGCGACCGGGATGTGCCGACGGCGAGGTTGAAAAAAGGCGAAGGCAATGGCGAGTTGGCAGATGTTGGCAGGAGCAGCCGAGGTGGCTCGCGCCGCCACGGCGCTGAAGCGACAGGTTTTCACCCCCATGGCCAATTAAGGGTCACCCTTTCTTAACCCTCGAAAGTGGTTTGTGGCAGGCGCAAGATTTTTTCGATGGTTAACATCCCTTAACCTTCTTTTGGTGGCTATGGTTAGACAATTCTTAGGCGGCCCTGGTTTCGCATAACTGCCAGGGTTGAGGTGTTTTTTGGCGGGTTGGCCGGTTGGCAGCTATGATTGTCAGCAACAGCATCATCAACTGCATGCATGATTTGATATCATTAAGTTTCTTTGTCTAGCAGTCTAGTGCTCAGAGTGTATATACTATATGGTTGTGTTTGGTCTCACGACCATCCCCAACAGTTCTTCAAAAACCTCTTGTCTTATATAGCCACGCAAAAACATGTCGTGTGGCTTCAATATTTGCCAAATTGGTTAATCCATCTTCTCCATTCCAAGAGAGGTGACCTGAACTAGGACCCGTTTTTTCTGGGGCTACCCTGGCCTGGGATAGGCGAGTTCGGGTCCTTCAACCTCTGTTGGTTCTTCTCTCGCAGCTAAGCTGGCCTCGTTTCTGGCTTCCTAGACCGACCGGGACTCCGCCACGCAGCGTCCGCCATCTCAGGTGCTGGCCAACGCCCCAGGCTTCGAGGAGGCCGCCTTCCACGGGTTTTGCGTCCCTCTGGGTCAATCCCCCTGCCGGAGGGAATTCTGCCCTACAAGTCCAAAAGACTCATGCAGTAAAACTTGATCATTCTACCTCCTTCAATCGTGTTTTTGTATGACAGACTCCAGTAAAGCGAGGTCATTGACCTGTTTCCGGGATGGCTTCTTTTTTGTTTCCCCAACTTTCCTGGGACCGGCCAGCGCAGTTTGCCTCGCTCCGCCCGTGTGGTTGCGCCACGCGCGCGCGCTCCGCTCCGCGCTGATCTCTCCGCGCGGAGGTGAAGGCCCAGGGCACCGGTGCGTCGGTGCGCGTGGAGGGCGAAGTGGTGGAGTCGCCGGCCAAAGGCGCGGACGGCGGACGCACGCACCGATCCAGGGAGAGGGGATGGAGGATGGAGGATGGAGGATCCAGTTAGGGTGGGTGGAAGGCAGAGCTTGGTGGGAGAGGTCTGTACCTTGGAGTTGGCGAGCTCCTTGGAAGGTGTGAAGGACAAATTGAATCGCGAAGTTGCGCGAAAAAGTTGGACATCAGTTCGTTTCCATGGCAGTCATTTTGTTCTCGCGCATGCAGCGCCATACCATGGGCGGTATGACCACTTCCCCTTAGCATTCATGCGAAAGTCACTTCAAGTTGATGGCGGAAGCCTCCCATTCCCACCCTCCCAGCAGAGGTTGAAGAACCCGAACTAGACTATATAATAGGTACCGGGTCCTATGGTCCCGGTCACTTAACCGACTTAACCTCTGTGGGTCCCCTCCAACACCCTTCCTCCTGAGCTCCGTTTGAGTCCTTCTCGCCACCAGCTCTGTGTCTCGAGTCTGCCAGGTCAGGCGGTGGAAATCTCCTGCAGCTCCGTGCGGAGCTCAGTTAAGGACACCCTGCACCACTCCCAGCGCAACACCATGCACTCCTAACCATATAATTGCCTGGAGGAGTGGTGCAGGATAAGGAGGAGTGCAAGGAGTGCAGGTCATAACCTAAAGAGTGGATCACCTGCAGGTCATCCTTGATCCTTCTTGGGGGTTGGGGAAGCCCCCAGAGAGTGGAAGTTCGGTAAATGTTCATGTGAACTTGGAAGGGATCGAAACAGCAACGGCTCGCTCTCCCAGGTTTTGTGCTGGTTTGTCATGGTTTTGTTTGGTCCACGTGGAAAACTCACGGAGAGTTCCGTAGGCGCCGTAGGAGGCAGATGAAACGTGGATGTTTTGGTGGGAAATCCCCTCCCCAGGAAAGATCGACCCCCCTTCCAAGTTGCGGACCAAGGGGAGGAGCTCCCCATGAGGGACGAGCGACGTTGCGAGCGAGCGAGCCAGCTTCTGGAGCGACCATTGTTTTCTGTGCACCTGGACCTCGCTTCAAGTACCCTAGAAAATAGGGCATGACCCCATGTTACCAAAATCTCAAAAACACATACCAGCAGTCACAAAGGGGTGCTTAATGGAGGTTAAGGGTGCCCAGAACATCCACTCACTTAGGGACTAAACTCCACCCCTTTGTGACTCCTGGTATACTTGTCTTGTACTCATTTTCTGGGGTACCTCTTAAGAATCTTTGGACACGTTATACGGTATACCTCGATCTTCGTGACAGTCCAATCGCTCCTTCTGGGCCGTGAGACCGGTGCTTGCCATGCGGCTTCTTCCCTCCACGACTCCTGTGAAGCGCCCCATTGGGAGTGAGAGAAGCCAGAGACCCCGATAAAGAGCGTCCACTTTGATGGGCAAAGGGCAGCAAGGCCAGAGTTGGCATGGTTGGTAGCTTAAGTATACTAGACTTACTTCCTCGTGTATTAAGCACCTGTTCAAGACTCAAGTGAAGCTCAAGGAGTGACTTGAGGGAACTGAGCTCAAGACCCAGAACCTTCACAAGGTCTCCTATGTGCCACTGCTGGATCCCGAACCGCGACGCTTCCCTCGTACCAAGGCAGAGCATCGAGTGGGGACGGCTGAGTGACCGCGATCGTGGCGCCGCGATGCACGAACAGGTGATCACGACCAAGGTGTGGTTGATTTGAGGCATTCTTGGATTTGAAAGAGCTTGGCAGCTTGTCCTCACCCTCCTCCACCCTTCTTCTCCCCGCCCCTCCAAAAAGACAACACGTACAGACAAACACATTCCTGAAACCATCCTGTCTGGGTATCCATGAAGATCCCTAACTAGTGGAGGGTAGTCCAGACAGGTGACCCATTGGATGGTATAGCTAGGAATTTTATGGCCACATGATTGACTCCAGATGGGAGACTTGATTCTATACAGGTGATGATTGCAACTTGGACAGCTGCACCGTGCAGCACCCTGTCCACATGGATTTCAGGCCACTGCATACTCCGAAAACGGCTAAAGTCGAACCTAAATCTTACAGTAGTAAATTGAATTCCATGGGGAGCTCCTTCCCTGAAAGGTTTGGAAGGTTTTGTGCTAGAGCCTGGGGAAGGCCTTGTCCCAAAACCACTTGGATGCCCATAGCAGGCAAGAAATGGCAAGAAATGGCAAGAATAGTAGATGGTCATAACTAGGTGGTCATAACCAGTCATAACTCAAGTCAACAAAATCCTTCAGTGAAGAGTCGTTCTTGACCGCATAGGTCATAACTCAAGAAAAAAACACACAGACACACTCATAAACATTTAAAGTCGGAAGTGGAGTCCAACAAAAACAAACTTCCTGGCCTTTCCAGCCATGCTTTGCCATTCACGTGATTCCGTGATTCCTTCTTTTTGAGGGAGTTATAGTGATCCTCGCGCCTCGCCAGCGCTGAGGTGGAGGTGCTTGGAGCCGTGGATTCTAAGGCGCGCCGGCACGGGGCAGGAGCGAGGGTTGATGCCGCTACGCGAGGTGAGGTGAGGTGCTTTCTTCCTTTTTGGTTTCAAGACGTAGGTGGCACTTTTGGGCCTCCAAGAGGTTTGCGTGCTTTCTTTTTAAATTAAAGGTGGGGAGGGAGGTGCATGGAAACCACCAAACTTGGAGATTGATCCGCTCTCAGTCCACCATTATGATCCATTAATATCTATTCTGTAGGTTAGGCAGATGGCGTTTTGAATGCCAAGAGATGCCAAGTCAGGTGGTGCATTGGGTGTGCTCATAATGGGTCACTTAAGTCATCTATGACATAGGCTGTAATGTGATACAGTGATACATAGTCAGTTATACACACCGTACACACGTTAATAATTCACATACTTGGACTATATGCCATCTTCTTCACACATGCCCTACATATGTTCACGCCCCCAACCACCCCGGGCCTGTCTCTCAGGCCTGTTCCATGCCCGTCCCAACAAGTGTTTCGGGTCGGCACAGCGCTGTCCACTTCGATGGGTCACCGCTTGGTCGCTCAATCGGCGGATCCAATGGGATCACCGGTCGCAGTGGGGCTGGTGGGGCTGGTGGTGAAGGCGCGCATCGAATGGGCTGGTGGTGCGAATGGAGCTCTGAAACAAGAGGCATCCCCTCACCAGAGACTCCATGTATGGATGTGCATGGAGCTCTGAAACCACCCCCAAAGTAGGCTGAAAGATGCCAGTCTCATGGAGTGCTTTGAGGTTTTGAGGTTCGCGCCACAAATGTTCCTGACAGGCTTACCCGCTCGCCAAGAAGCCAGGCGCCCAGCCGGCCCAGCCCGCTGCAGGGGGCATGAAAAAGCAGATGCTCACTCTGGGCGACCTCTTCAGTGACACTCAACCTACCCAGCCAGGAAAAGTGCATTACCTGCAGGTCACCTCTTTGTTGAAAGTGGTGGGACCCCACTTCAAGGCACCAACAGGTGAAGTGCCTACAATACATTCGGTGAAGCTGGTATTATCGGTTCGAAAACGGCTCAGGAGCAAGTCAATGAATGACAGACATTTCATTTCCTGGTCACAGCAGTCAAGCTGTGCCTTTCCGATCCTCAACGCATCGATGCAAGACCCAGACCTCGCCAGTGGCGATTCCGAAACAGACCTCCTTCGGATCCTTTGCCGCAGCCCTCCACAACCCAGCAGCTGGAGCTTGTTCAGCGAAGCGGCATTTCACCGAAGCCTTCCTGAGGAAGCACAGCATCGAGTACCTGCGTGAGATCGCGCATTTGAGGCCCAGGCTCCCTGCCGTCCGATGCGCCAGACGTCCGATGCGCCGGACGTCGGACATCTGGCTCGCCGGCATGAGGGTCTACCCTAGACATATATCTATGGACATCGATGATCTACGAAGATCACACAAACATCTTCGCACTAGATCTACGTATTAAGTATAGATCTTCCGATATCATGGGGGGGGCCCGAACATCCTGCGAATCGCAGACTCTTTAGGTATTAGCTGTGGTTGATGTCTAGTCCCAGACCCTTCCATGCATGGAATCGCTACATACATCATGATATAACCCCATTGCAATTCACCCATCTGAAGTAACTCTTCCAGTCCCACCTGGTCTGGGCATCAATTCATCCCTCACCATGCCCGACGTGTTCGATCCGAAAGCCGAAAGCCGTTCGACGCAAGACGGGAGCCCGGGAGCGGACCTCGCGGGCTCGGACCGCTCGGAGCGACAGCGGCTGCGGTGTCTCGAGCTCTTTCTTTTGGGTCAAGTGGACGTCACATAGGTCCAAGGCAAGGGTGGTTTATATGGACCCCCCATCCATATAAAAGAGATGTAGGGGGGGTTGTGCCAGGTGTGAAACCCACACCAGAGATGGCTCAGGGCTGACCTGGGATTCTCCCACTGGCGGAAGGAAGACGGAAGACGGATGGGTTGGTGGGTCTCGGGGTGCAGTTCTCAAACGACCATTGCTTTCATTGGCGGCCATAGTTTGTGGCAGTCACTACTCACTTGGACATGCACTTGGTTCTCCATATATAGCTTATACCCCACATACCCCACATTGCTTTCCCCACATCCCCCAACGAAGCCAAAGAAGGCTATTTCCGAGAGCGTCAGCTACCTGCGTATCAATGTGTAGTCTTGAGAACTCACTTGCATTTGACCTGCACTGACACCACTTCAACAGCATCAGTTCACTAGTCATGATGGGGGGCATTTTCAGGCAGTCTGAAGATCGAAAGAAGTGCCAGCCCAGCCTCAGCATGATAGGGAAAACCATCTCTATTGATCGAGTCCAACCCCGAAAAAACCGGATCCTGAAAACCTCAGTGACTCAGTAACTCCAGCAAATTGAGGTCCAACTGACCTTCTTAGGGAGCAGACAAGAAAGGACATCACCGCTCATCCCTCCATGGCTGGAGCCTCTGCGGTCCGTGCAGCCTTGCCAGCCGCCTTGCTGGGGGTGCCTTGCTGATCATGTGACCCTTGCAAGGAGCAAACCACTAGCAAGTCACGACCCAGACACTCAATCTTTCTGGAATTCGAATATATCATTGGCCCGGACATGAAATGGAAGCGCCCCGACTCATGGGCATTTATGTCAGTTCGATCTTCAGCGTTTGGGTCATGCATCTCCAGCTTGTGCCCTACTAACCTTCAAGACCATTTAAATCAATGGTGGGCCCAGGTGCCCTTCACAAGATCCACGCGACGCAACACGCACGGCGCTGGTGCTTCTTCCTCAAGGGTTGGAGCTTCTGCGAGGGCGAGGTCTTCAGTGTGCTGCAGCGACAAGCGCTTTGAATTAGTGGATAAGGACGGTTGGCCTTTTTGGAGTCAATGTTGTTTTGCCAGTAGTCTGGAGTCTAATTAAGTCGTTTGGAGTTTAGAGAACGCTGGGCATGTTAGATGTGATGGTGTCTCCGTTCGATAGCTCGCTGCGGGATGAACGGTGTTGAAAGGTGCTCGCTGCGTCTCCCCCTTTGTCCCGAGACCAAGAGACCAAGTGACCAACCTGAGTGCAGCGGCGCTGCGCCCAGTGCCGAGCCTGTCAGCGCTCACTGGTGCGCTGACTGGGCACAGCTCGGTGAGACCACCCCGAAGCCGAAACCCAAACGCGTTCGAGACTGCGAGACTGCAGAACAGCCTGAAAGACTTGGTCTTGGATAGGATTCAACGACCTTGAAAGGCCCCAAGAATGGAGACTTGGAGGATGTGCTGGTGATGTCCTGAGAACGGCAAAAGTCGCAGGAGAAGTACTTCAAGTCCAAGCAAGCAGCTTCCACGGTCTATCTCCAGGCTGGGGTGGCTGAGCTGGCCTGGCGCGGTACCATGGCACCATGGCGCCCGGAGACCTTGCGGTTGACCACGGAAAATTAACAGAAATGAACTACTAAGGAGCTCAACCTACCAGGGTGAACCAGGCTCCTCGTTTTGATCCAAAGCCATTTCATCATAGCTTGCTCCACGTTTTGATCCCAATCAACTGCGGCGGCGGCAGCAGTTGCCCAGCCTGCATGGCCCGTAGATTCAGTGATCACACGCCTACCCAGCAAAGTGGATAAGCTTCAAACAGTCCCCACTTGACGCACGAACAGGTGGGAAAAATTCATAACCTACCTTACCGCAGTTTGTGCCCTTGGGTACTAGAGTGAATGTTCCGATAGCAATCCGACCCGTGGCCATCGCAGACCTCGAGCACCCGCGAGAGGGGAAACAGCTGTCGGGTGCAGCGGTTTGGACTCTTCCACCAGTCGACCTTGTCCTTCCGCTCCCGGAGCTGGTGGGACCAATGAATACCCTACCTTACCCAATCTGAATTCTGTTGCTTCGGATCTTCAGCTCGGGAGCCAACTGACTAAGGGGTTCCGCAGCCGGTCGACTGGTCGCAGCCGGTCGCAGCCGGTCGCTCCTCCGCTCCCTCCGCCGACCGAGTTCCACAGGCGGCGGGCGGCATGCGCTACTGCGACTTGAAGATGGGCGATGGGAAGCTGGCCCAGCTGCTGGGGCGAGGAAGTCAGGTTCCCGGAATGTGTTTTTTGCGAACAATGAACCCTGAAAACCCATGGGTTTTGCAGAGGAACACCGTCTTTCAAGGTGGGTTCCAGGTTAGTTATTCAGGAGTGTATACGGGACAAAAGTCTAGGGAACAACCCATGGTTTTTCACATGTTCACCCTCGAACCGGTTGGTTTTTCTGTTGATTTTTTCCTTTACACCCCCAAAAACTAACACGGACCCTGAGAATGGCACCCTGAAAGACTGCTTTCCTCTACAAACCAGTGGTTTTCAGGGTCCATTTTAGTTTTCAGCGGGGTAACCAATTCTGGGAAAAGTCCATGCACATCTTCAGTGGGTTTTCAAACCATGGCTTGCGGCTTGAATGGTCGTGTCACATGGGTTCAGGGAAATGCCATCTATTCACGGGCACGGGTCAAAAGATGCATCAAATGCATATCGATGATTTTGGATGCTGAGCTGTCAAATGCATATCGATTATTTTGGATGCTGAGCTGTTAGTGGAAGGAATATGAAGGAATCACGTCCCCAACCTTTGGAGCATCATCCCACCTAGGAAAAGCATTGCTTTTTCTCACATGTGCACGTCAATGATCATCAAAGCGTCGGGAGGAAGGACCTTCTGAATAAGCAGGTTCAACCGGCTCTTTGGTTGTTTTGCATGGGTTGCTGGTGTGTAGTTTGTTTCAGCTCTCCTACACCGGCACCACATGCTTTCCTGGCTTTCCTTGAGGAAAGGCATTTTGGTGTGCTTTCACTACGAAGGCCGGAACGCGCGGCTGATTGAGCAACAGATCTCCACAAAACCTCACTGGCAGTCGATGAGCCGTCGATTGGAGAACAATGAAGGAGCTTCAACATGCACGTGTCCCTTTAGTTTAGGCTTTCAATTCGTTTCATGGATCTAACTTCGTCGATGCTTTCGGTTCGTGCAGTCGACTGGCAGCGTCCTTGGCATCCGTCTAGGCAAACGCCTCAATGGCAAGGTCATGGACGCTCGATGAACCTCCGGGTGTCTCGGGGTCGGGGCGGGGCCAGGGATTCAGTCTGACCGGAAGCAGGGGTCTGACTGGATAAACAGCTGTAACGCCCTAACGCCAAGCATCAAGCGATCTACAAACTTGGCGTTCAAATGCGATCTGATGGGCAGATGTTCCTTTTTCTTCTCTCCACTTCGAGAATTCTACTTCGAGAATTCGCTGCCACAACAAATGCAAGAAAGCTTTTTTTTTTCTTCGGGTGAGGTGTTTTGTTGTTTTGGGCTGAGTGAATCGTGGTACCTGGGGAAGATGTTTACGCGTGCCGATCTCGGCTCTTTGATCGGCAGGGCATTTGGACCTCCCTCGGCACCGGTGCAGAGCATAGTGCCCCCTGTTGCCGTTGGCTCCATACTGCCCAGATAAGTGGGGTGTTCAATAGCCTAGGCAAGTGCAAACTGGACATGGAAAAACAGGACAAACACATTTACCTGGAGGTTAGATGCGTGACCTTTGTGTTGCAAAGATTCTATTTGAGATGGTTGCTGGTCCTGCACGGTCACTCAAGTTCGATGTTTTGCTTTTCTGCTGATATTCCAAGCTTATAAACCTTGGCGACGGCGCAGGAAGAAGACAGATGCCTGGAATTCCTATCAACCGCCAGGTGCCCAAGACATGTAGATGGGCCCACATCCAACCAGAATTTCCCAAAGAGATCCAAAAATATCCACTGGATCCGATCCAAAAAGAATTGAGAAGCATGCGGTTTTGATCCAAGGAGTCCTCCTGGACCACCGCGACGACGCCTCCCTGTGTGAAGGCCGAGTCTTTCGGATGGGATGTGCAGTGGGTTCGGAGGAGTTCAACCACCAAAAAGTAACGCGCTCAAAACAAAAGGTCCAGTCTGATCCAGGATAGTCTGGTGAGTTGGGTCCTGAAAACGTCGTCAATTGCAGTCCTGATCAGCCGTGGTTTTGTGCCAACACGCTTCAAAAGAGGTCCTTGGCTGACTTGAAGGGAGTTTCGGAATATGGAAGTGTCCCTGACTTCAGTCGGTGAGCGTCGGTTTCCTTCCTTTGTTCGTCCTGATGTGACTCCCGTTCGCGACTTTGTCGCGACGTTCGTCGGGGTCACGTGGTCCTTGGCGTGGCTCGCAACCGCCGGAGTCGAGGTTTGGACGTCACCTGACCAGCTGGATGGCCTCAGCTGTCACCATGCTAGCCATCAGGAGTCATGTGGGCCATGTCAGGGCATACCCAGACACTCCAGGTGTTGCATACCTTGAGGTGGTTTCAGGGGGTCTTATAAATATTCCAGTCCCATGGTCTGGGAGACATGGAACCTTTGGGATACGATACGCGCTCTTCTCTCCGGTCGCTTGCTTTGTTGCAGGCGGGCCACACCCCCGAATTCCCGGCTTTGGGCGAGGGAGTGGTGGGGATGCTTCTTGGTGTGCAGATCAGGTGGAGATGGGAGCATCCGGAAGTGAGTGGGGAGCCCCTATAGAAGAATTAGACATAGTGATGTCATGTGATGTCACTGATGTCTATATTCAGGGTGGTTTGGGGTTTGTTGACCACCCTCTTCTTAAGCCCAGGACGTTGGTTTTGATAGGTCCTTTCGGAGGATCCAATGCACGGCGTCCAAACCAAAATGCAGCTGCTGCAGCAGAATGTGGGGGCCAAGTGTTTGGTCCTGTGGATGCACAGCGCTTTTGCAACCGCATTTGGTCACATTTTGCCAATGCCTTCGTGGGAGCTGGGGACGCAAGACAAATGAATTCTTGAAGAGGCTCATCAAGCAACCTAATTCAGGGCAATCTTTTACTCCCCTAGCAGATGATGGAACCCCACAACTGAGGAAAAATTGAGGATTATTGTCCTCTACACTCTGTGTGGGGGGTAGTTGTTCTTCAAGTCATCGGATTCTGATTCTATGATCCAAACTGTAACTGTATTGTTTGGGAGATAAAAAGTATCCACTGCTCTACCACACCCTTGCACGTTTCTTCGTGCGAGTGCCATCAGGAGAGAAGGTGGGAAGCGCGAGCTGATCATCCCGCCAAGTGGCTCAGTTGCACTAGCTGATTGAACAGAAAAAGGTCAAGTTATCACGGAAGCCAGAATCTTAGAGGCTTGTATTGCCGCTTCTCCCGAGGTGCCCCTCACTCGTTTTGGACCATGTCGGAACATCTCTCTATCTATGCACCACGTAAATAGGTCTCACTCAGATCTTAGGGTCCCTTCAAACAGGTACCATGTCTACATCCATGGTCCATGTACTATACATCCTCAAGATTCCTCCAGAAAACATGTTCCTGAACCACCCGACAATTCCAAGCTCGATGCCCCACGTGCCAACGTGTGGCCTTTCGGTGGCGAGGCATGAACCGCCCGGGCGTGGAGGAGGTCATGATCTACACGCTGGAGCTGGTGACCGTCGCGCCGTCGCGGTGTCCGCAGGGGGGAGCTGGTTGGGGTGGCGAGTCAACGAGTGGAGCTGTGAAGCCAAATGGGTTGGAACATGTTGGAACCCGTTCTTTCTCAGCACATGTTGCAAACAACCTTTGGTTGGAACTTTTTAAAGGCTTGAGATCGCCAAGCGCCAGGATTGTGGCATCAAGCAGTTTGCACAAGACCTGGCTTCTTCGCAGTTTTGTGCAGTGAGTGGAGCTTCAGGAATCAGTTTTTGGGGCGCTAGGGGCCTGGGACTACTTTTAAAATATATACAGTGGGTTCAGAGTAGATGGCACAATCCCCAAGAGGTGGTTTATATCAACCCCCATCTAAAGGACACGCAGAGGTTGTGCCATCTACTCTGAAACCACTGTAATCTATAGATTCTGGGGCCGGGCTTTACAGGTGGACCGGTCTTACAACCAGAGTCCCATCGAAAACGCGAGTCGCTCGAGCAATGAAACTGCAATCAGTAATCAGAGTTTCGAATGGCAGGAGAACAGGTTGACAGGTGACAGGTGTGTCTATATTTCTGGAGGTGCTGGTAGGAAGGCCCAGAAAGAACCCGGGAAAACATGGGACAACGACCCTCCAAGAGAGGTTAAGTGACCTGATATAGCGGACCCGGAAAACCTGGAGTGCCTTGGGATAGTAGTCTTTATAAGGTCCTGGTCTAGACCATTGCTTGTTCCTTTCTAGAAGTCCTGGCTCTCCTACACACCGCAGCCCTCTCAGGGCTGGTGAAGAGCCTGCGGATGCACCCCCACCAGTGACTGAGCCGGAGCCGACACGAGCTACATGGGCACCTGGGCAGCATCGCTGGACTCCACGGTTGACTCAGAGGCTTTCCTGACTCCACGGTGCCCTCCCTCCAACATCCTGGTGACGCGGATGGCATTGTGCCCATGGCCCCCACAAGTCCAGACCATTTGGAGAACACAAGTCCAGGGGTCCGGAGTGAGATCTGTGGGGGCTGGATCCAGCGCTTTCGCTACTTGGGGGATCCATCTGAGATGGTTGAAGCCTTTTTGTGTGTTTCACGTGTCGCAAGCTCTTCACCACTGAAGGACTGGAGCCAAACATGTCAAGTTCTGAGTCATTAACAGGTCCAATGTCAAGTGTGGTCACCAAGTTGTTTTTGTTCAATGGGCTGGAAGTAAGGGAGTTTGTGTTTCAATAGGCCGAGGTACACTCCCTAAAACAGTCATAGAAGCGCATAGAAGTGGAGTTCACCACTGGTATGGTATTCTGAAGATGGTCATCCTTGCCATACATTCCGGACTTGGAGGGACCGCAACAGTACAGCTCTTGTTATATAGCTCTTGGCGGTCCTTTGAACGTTAGTTGAAGGTCAATGAGGGGTCGCAAGGGCCATGACTGGGCTACCTATGGGATACCCATCGCCTATGGGATACGTATCATTACCCCCAGTAGGCCAAGATGGGCCTTGAGAACTGACTACAGTCCAGCATTTTTCATGGTGTTCCATGATGTCACTCTCCCAAAAACCCAAGTGAACATCGCCAGAGTCCCCCTGTGTCCCACTGCCGCTCCGCATCCTCCCCGCTTCCGCTTCCGAGTTCTGGCAACGCTTGGTGGGCGGTCCAGGGCGGTAATCCAAAAAGATTGGACGGCGTGCCGCACGCGTCGTGCACGGCCTGCGCCGGTGGCGGGCAAGCCGGCGTGGCGTGAACACTGCATCGTCTACTGCATTTGATCAGCGGAGGACCCCCAAGCATCCATATTCCATTCATATTCCAACATAGATGCTTCCTTTTGGAAACGTCTTATTGGCATCCCACACCCCTCTTCCCCCCCGGTCACCTTCATTCTGCGGTCGTTTGTCATACATTGCTCCCGAGCGGCGGTCCGCGCCAGGTCGAACCTCATCGGTGCGGTGAGCCGTGTGCGGAACTGCTTGGCCATGAGTGAGCCCGGGTCCGTCGTCGAGTTCAGGTCCGTCGGACGGAACAAGCGCATGCAGAACAACGGAGGTAGCCAGTGACCGGGACCATAGGACCCGGTAAACCTGGGGTACCTATAGGATAGGATAGTCTAGTTCGGGTTCTTCAACCTCTGTTGGAAGTGGTTGAGACCTGCCCCAGGTGTTGTACCGTGGATATCACCTGCTGAAGGTCACCATTTTTGGAGAATCGGGGTGGCGACCACCTGTGATTGACAAAGCTGATCATGTGTTTTTTCTCCAGATTCATTCGTGATGATCCTCTTCAGGATTAAAAACGACTCCGGTGGGAAAGGAGGAGATCAGGAACGCCGGACCAGTATAGGCTCATACCTGGAGCTTCATGTCGGGGTGCTCCGTCTATCCCTAAGCCTACGTCGTGTAGGGTGGTCTAGTCGCGAGACGACATGAAGGTCCCGGTGTTCTTCGGATGTCCGGAGCTACCTGGACCCTCCTGTCGGTGTGTCCGACGACCTCACACTATATACCTATCCCAGACACTCCATGTATGCTACAAATGCCTACATTGGGGTGGTTTTGGGGGTCAATGTAGGCATATATGACATACATGGAGTGTTTGGGTATAGGCTTCCAGACAGGGCACCCCGACAGGAGGGTCCTGGTACTTTCCGTGGACCATCGGCCATTGGGGTCTTAGTCTCGTGACCTGCGGACGCGCGAGCAAAGGCGCGCGAGAAACGGCGCGACGGCGCGACGGCGGGTCGGGCATCCAGTTCTTCCCCAAATGAAGCGAGCCGGCACTAGCGACGAGGCCAAGCCAAAAAGCTTGCTCAGTTGGATGTTTGTTGTGGGATGGACTGTTTGATCAGAGACATTCAGACATTCTGAGACATCCCATGGAGGTACACACCAATTCTTCCAAGACCGCGGCTTCCTCTATGTGTTGGGGCACTTGGATGTGATGCGGGACCAGGGTGTGCTTTGCAGAGAGGCTTAAGGAGATGCTGGAGATGCTTCAAGAAACCCTTCCAAGACTGGGCATCCCTATGTCAACGGCCCTAAAACCCATGACAGGTTTGCACATATAAAACGCCATGTCTTTGGCTAGGGCAATCCAGATTTTTGATGGTTTGTGGGGCTCCAGGTAAAACGGCACCTTCTCAGAAGGTAGCCCGACAGTTAGACCCTCCGAACACACCGACACCATCTCAGGAGGTAGTTAATATCTTTTGGATCATCTTAGAGTCGACTCATCCCTTAATCATTAATCACATCCCCTTGTAGTCCTAGTCCCAGCCCCCACATCCCCTTGTAGTTAATCTCTTACAGATCATCTATCCGAGTCCTAGTGGTGATAGGTCGGGAGATGTTTGGATCGTAGGCGAGCCTTTGACAGAAACCACCTTTCGCGACGTGTGCTCTCGCTCTTCCTGTGCCTTTCTCGCATGTCGACACCGGTCTTCCCATGCCTGCGGTGCGGCGGAGCACCCAGCGCGCGGGTTCGAGACATGGGATTCCAAGCACCTTCGTCCGACCGCATCGGAAGTCGTAAGTCGACCAAGCGGAGCACACTGGAAGTCTCAGAACGTGCCTCAGAAAATGGGTACAAGTACGGTCATATACTCGTAGTACCCCTAGGGATCCGTTTTCGTACCTCCTCAGAAGGTATGACTGGACCCTCTAAACCCTCCCCAAACACCTTCTAACAAGGTACTTGGAGCCCTAGGGTACATGTCTTTTTTGGGGCGCCATGTCATGTCTGTCCCACTTCCTAGGGGACTTCAAGTCGGATCCAGGTATGCTTGGTGCTGGTGCTGGTGCTGAGTGATGATGAGTGATGACCGCGGGTCCCCGCCAGGCATACGCCCATCATCACGACCGCAGACTGCGAGGGCGCGGGCGAAATGTTCCGCGTCTCGCAGGAGAAGGCCGGACCGGTGGACCTGATCGACTGCCCTTGCAGACCCCAACACACCATCCAAAGCACCTGGCTACAACTATGCAACATGGCTGAATTTTGGCACTTGGAAGTTGAAAGATCCATAATTAATGACATACCCAGATGCTCCAAACAGCCCTTGGTCCCTCAAAACCTAGGGGTATTGAATATGTGTGTTTCAAAAGCCGCTAGGAGCACTTGTATAGTCATGTCAGCCTTGGCCGTTACGGGACTCATTGGTCATGTTACGGCCGAAGTGTTTTGCACACCCTCCACACCGGAGTCCGTTGGAGACAAAATCTACACCCTGGAAGACTAACATGGACCCTGAAAACCACTGGTTGGTAGTGAAAAACAACCTTCCTGGAGCGTATTTCGCTCCATGCTGCTCCATGCTGGTCCCATGCCGTGCCGCGAAATCGCGCGCGCACGAGGCCGAGTCAGAGCCCAAAGAGGAGGAGGAGTTCTTTGGGCGAAAGGCCTACTTGACGGCCCCTTGGCGCATGGCCTTCCCGACCTTGTGCCCATGCAGTGAGTTGACTTCACGCGACGTGGGTTGACTTAAGTACACCGCTTGTAGGTCGCAGACCTCATTTTGATATGATATTTCTTGGAGTGGGTTACGCTGTTTTGGGCAAGGCCAGAGCACGAACACATGGGAAGACTGAGCCTTTCATCCCATGCGCCATCCACCGCACGCCTCCATCCCACGTTCGAGGTCTCGGGGCAGCTGGCGGTAGAGAACTACTGCTGCGGACTGGGAGATGTCCGGCATCACGGGGAAACTTGCACGTCGCAGCTGCTTGAACATGTTCACTTGAATCCATTGTCCTGCAAATGGTCGGAACTGATGCTGCCACCCGTGATCCATACCAATATGTATATACATTTACGATCCTCACACACCAAAGACGCCTGCGTCCCAAAAATGGCCTGTGACTTGCTGCGGTCGCAGCCATCGCGCCCTCGCTGCGCGCTGCGAGGTCTATACCTTTGGCCCCACCTTCCGCGCCGAGAATTCCAGTTCGGATCCTAAGGTGGATGCGACGTCGTCGCGGAGGCGGATGAAGCCGAAGCCCACGCCCACGCCATGGTACACGGGAAAGGACCAAGGACACCGCACACGGCAAACACGCTGGCCGTCATATTTTTCTCAGAACCGGCCAAGCAGTGTGTAGATTTCTCATGATTTCTCTCTTTGTTTTGTTTCTCCAAAAAGACAAAATACATCTTCTCGAAGCCGGCGGTCCGAATCCAAGCAGATGAGCTTTGGGACAAAGACACCTGCAGCCATTCATGGCCGCATGCACGTCCTGAGGCACCACACGGCATTTAGCCGAATTCTGGATGCGAGGGAGCTCAGGGTGACCGTTCAAACATGGATCTACTAGGGCGGGTGAGTCGACAGGTCTGGGCTCAGGTGAGCCCGAAGGGAAAAAGAAACTCCAAGTTTGTTTGAACATTGGCTTAAGAATTTAAGAGCACATGTCTTGTGTGGGCTCAGTTTGGAGGCTTGAAGATGTTCAGTGATGTGCCCCCAGATGGCCAAAGAGAAACTCATCCCGTCTTGAAATAAGAGGGCGATTGGACACATATATAATTACTAACGCTATAGTGAAGTAAGCCATTCACAGTGATTGATAAGTGCCAGATGTGGAAGAGCGAACAAGATACAGTATATCAAAGTGCAGTTTTCCAAAACCTGCAGCAACTTGTTTCAATCTATATGCCACGGAGTTCGCTTCAATTCTTGTGGGGGCCTTCCTACAAGCATTTGCGCAGTTGAATTGCACATTTTGGGCAACATGCTTGCATGAAGCATCATCACCCTTTGGCTGTTGACAACTTTCCTTTTGTTCAGCATCCAGGCTGGCCGGAGGTTCTTTTCACGCATGCTGCCTTTGCCTAGGATCGAGCCAGAAATGGCCTTTGCAAACTTGGAGGATGACATGGACTGCGCAGAAGCCTACATCAGGCAGCTTGCAGACTTGGCTACAGCAGTCGATGAGACTAGATTAGAGGTCCGCATTGTGTTTTGTGCAGTTGATTCATGTTCAAGAACTGTTTGGATTCAGGAATTTGAGCAGAAACAAGGACCTGCAGGTTTTGGCTTTTGCTTCCCCTTGCATCCCTTGCCAAGGGGTTTGGGGTGCATCATGTTATGTACATCGTCTTTCGAAAGCATATCAGGTACTGTGTGTCCAACGTGTTGGAGAAGTGCAAGTCTGACGTGGACTTCTTCACTCTTAGAGTAGCCGCGTGGTGAAACGTTTGATGACGCGTGGGCTGATATGGGGATGGGTCAAAACCTGGAGCCCTGGTCCACCATGTAGCTTGACCTGACGTCGCTAGGTCAACAAAGGTATCCTGGTGCCATGACCCACAGCCATATGGTGCTTGGGGCCCTTGAGTTTAACCAGTGAGACTTGTGTTCCACTGAAGAAGGTGCCGGAGGCCATTCATACGAAGCCTTTTAAGAAACTGGTGAGTTGTTGTGGAGGGGCATTTGATCAGGATGTGTGATCCTCAGGGCAATATTGGGCAAGAACATGTAACATTTTTGTAGTGGCAACTCAATGAAGCCATCAGGTTTCAGTTTGCATCCATTCCGCACCTATTATTGGGTGTTGGGGGCATGATTTGCCACGTCAAGGGGCGCATGTGCAGGCTCAAAATGCCATAATCATAATCACTGTAACTCCCTAGAAGATCCTAGAAGTCCAGTTCGACACTTTTTTTTCGGCGCGCCCGAAGAAGTCACCAAGAGACCTTTTTGGAAGTCGTCAATCCCCGGACATCTTAAGGGCGAACCTTTACGGAGAACATCGCCACCGAATGAATCTTGCCAGAGCTACTCGGGCGGCGAAGAA